GCTAATAGGAAACCTTACTGTAAACCGGGCGACCAGAAAAGGTTAAAAACATGGCTATGGTCTATGCCCACACGCTAGGATCTATACCTCGCTTGTGGGCATAGAAATTTAGCCATGCGAGACGGAAGCTAAAGGCCTTTAAAGCTACAGTGGGCTCGTCATATGGTAGGTAGAGCAAGGTTTTTTAAAGGGCTTTCTATCGGGGCGGAATAACTAAAGAGGGGGTTTGGGGTGTAGTGTATTTTCCCATCCTGCAGCATTACAACTACGATGCCACCACCCCCGGCACCTGCCGCTTCACTATACTGCTGCTACCGCTGCTTGAACTACGGCGAAGACAGACAGTATCTCCTTAACTTATACTCCTCATATAACTGAAGACAGTGCAGCCCTGAACCTTGTCCTTATTGAGGTCATCAACTCTTGTTATAAGAACTCTTGTAGGACCTGTAGCTAAAACCCTCAACCCCAAAGCCTGTCTTTATTGCGCCCTCTACTAAAGCCGGAAAGCCTAAGCCCCTCAACCCTGAACCCTAAACCCCCGAGACGAAATCCCTTAAGCCCCACCTAAACCCCAAGGATCATGGGGCTTAGTAACTAGGGTTATAAGTACCCTAATTGGGGTTATAAGTATAGTTACCCTAATTATACTTAAAGCCCCGATGAATTAGAAGGGGCCCCCACCCTGTAATAGTGGTATAATAGGAACATAACAGGTCCCGAATATAATCCTTATAGTCACTATTACAGGGTGGGGGCCCCTTCTAAGCGACACCCATGAAAAAGGCCGGGTTATAAGTATAGTTTCCCTATTTAATTATAACCCTAGTTACTACGTCCCATGATCCTTTGAGTAGACCCTAAACCCCCTGTTATAATGGAACCCCCCCTATAGATCCCTTTAAAAAAGATCCCTTTAAGGAACCCTAGATCCTATTTCCCATGATCCTTTAAGTAGACTCCCGCTACGAGTGCCGGAGGCCTCGATGCCGCTCGGCAGCTTTCCGCTCCGCCTCGAGCGGCCGCAAACGCAGGAGGTGCCAAAAAGGGGCTGGGGCTTAGGGTTCCTTTGGAGGTCCCTTTAAGGGGATCTATGGGATTCTATAAGGGTATAAGGTTCAAAAAAGGGCCTACTTCCTTCAGAGGGTTGAGGGCTTAGGGTGGAGCTTATGGTTTAGGGATGAGGGTTTAGAGTTGAAGAGGGGTTTAGGGGTTTAGGGATTTCGGGTTGAGGGTTTTTTGGGGGAGGGTCTTAGTGAGCTTCTGAAGCTAGAGCATTGTACCTTCGTGTTAAGGAAGTTCTAGGTTTAGGGCTGCTGGACAACGAAGCCTCTTGCAAAAAGGGTTGTTTTCATGGCTTCGTACATGTAAGATTCGTGTTGGGTGTTATTATGGGCTTCTTCAATGTCTTGTGGTTCAGAGCTAGTTCAGAGGGTAGTGATCTTTCCTGGGTTACAGAGTTTAGCTGGTGCTTTGGTGACTCTGGTGTTTGCATAAACCGATTGCATTGCACAGTATCCCGACTTGGCGACCGTATCAGTATTTGTGTTCACACAATTTTTATTGATTACGGCGGCCGTGAGCCCTATACCGACTGCGAACGGTGAGACCTCGTCTGGCATGTCGGAGTTGCGATTGTGTAATCTCTAAAACCCAAAACCCTAGGGAAAAAGCCCTTTAAGCCCTAAACCACACCCGAAGTCGAGGTACAGAGTTCGCCGGACTCCGCAACGGCAGCAGCAACACCCACATCGCCGTTGGAGGACGATGAGGATGATGCTGCGGCCGAGGTGGGAAGGGGGCCTGATTTGAAGGGTTGCCATGCTGTGAGAGCCCCTAAGCTGTATGCTTGATTGCTTTGTCTCTCTCATGGCCTCGTTGATGGCTATCTTAGTGGGCTGCAAGCTCTTTGCTCTGTCCGTGAGCGGTTCCCGAAGTCAATGTCAAACAACTCCTGAGCTTGAAAAGCCATGCTGCGGTTGCTCATCGCAGGATGTGGGGGAGGTCAAGGAAGTGACCGCCACGGCCCCTCTGCTGCAGGTGTTTGTTTCTGTTAGGCAGAAGCGCGAGAGAGAGCAGTGAGCGTACGTAGCAAGGAGAGGTAGCAGTAGGAGGTCAGGGTGCGAGGCGAGATGCAAACCAGGCATTCCTTTTCAAGCAACTGATGGTCACGATCCTATGCACCTCCAACAGTCTCCCACCACTCATCTCAGCACCAAGCAACCTCCATAGTCCTCTATACCCTAAGCCACCGTGTAGTAGCATGCCTGGCTCTCTTCTATCACACTGTTGCAAACCACTCAGCTGCTCAAGTTTCGCGCATAAGCTGATTCAATTCACTTGAGCGTTTGGCTCTGGTGATCTGAGATCCCCTCTCAACACAATCGTGAATTTGTCTTGAGTTGGGTTCCCTTCTGCATATGCTGTATGTTTTCAGTTATTACTACTCACGCGCAGGTCTTATCTTCAATCGGCTCAGCACCAAGAACCCCACCTGGCAGAAGTCAATGCCTCGACGGAAGGAGCGGCGGGGTGGCTATGACGGCGGCCTCGCCACGGCCAGCCAGGCCTTCTGGATGTCAGTGAGTTCCTCCATTCACTCTTTGCCTGATTTACCTGTCTCGGCTGCAACAAGATTCCTGCAGCCATGGATTTCTTGAAGGCCCAGCTCGAATCTGAACGGAGACAGTTTTGACAGAGCCGGGTTTATGATATGAACGTAAGCCGGTCTTATCCGGTTCTTGCTTGACGGGTTGACGGATCAATCCCAACGCAGTACGAATCTGCAATTAGACTTCCTGCGCAGAATGCAGCCGAAGAGGGCCGAATGCCCGCTTCATCTGCGACAATTTTTGCAACCCCTTTGCACATGTAATTTTTGTACGTGCCCGAGCTATTTGTCAGGCCGCTACAGTACCGCAGACGGCGGAAGCTCCTGCTCCAGGTCAAGGTCCGCAAGGCGTGCGTGCAAGGGAAAGCAGAAGTATGAGGAGTATTGTACGCAACTTGTTTCGGTGGTTTTCTGTTTCTGGTCACATTGGGGGTTCATCTGTTCCTGCCAGCACTTCAACCTTTCTGAAGAACGGCACTGGCACCAGAGCACGAGCACTAGTCACTTGTCACTCGTCACTAGCGCTGGCACTGACACTAGCACAAGCACTATGCTAGCGCCAGGATCCACACTACCACTACCACTGCCACTACTACTACTACTACTACTACTACTACTACTACTACTACTACTGCTACTACTACTAGTACTACTACCACTACTACTGCTACTACTACTACTACTACTGCTACTACTGCTACTCCCGCTGCTGCTACTGCTACTGCTACTGCTACTGCTCCTCCTGCTACTGCTTTTGCTCTCGCTCCTGCTCCTGCTCTGCTTTCTGGCACTACTGCTACTGCTACTGCTACTGCTCCTCCTGCTACTGCTACTGCTTTTGCTCTCGCTCCTGCTCCTGCTCTGCTTTCTGCACTACTGCTGCTGCTACTGCTGCTACGACTCTTACCACCACCACCAGCATCACCACCGCCACCACTAGTCCTGCTGCTGCTACTACAACTACTATAGGGCCGCTGGTGCTACCGCCAATGCCACTACTGCTACTGCTACTACCACCACCATGATTCTGCATGATGCACTGAGCGGCTTGCTGCAACTTGTTGCCCGTTTGTCTGAGCCGCGGCATTCTCCAGGCCACGATAGACACCAGGCTGTTGCAGAGCCTGGAGTGTCTCCGGCCTCTCCGCTAGACCAGGCTCCCCGATTTTGCGGATGGAGAAGAATCTAACAACTACGGTTCCGAGCATGGGGTTTCGATCTTGACAGGGCTTGGGAGTCCAGGTGCGGGACCCGATCAGCAGAGAGACTTGCAGTGGGAAACACACGAAACAAGCAAGAGATCAGTATGCATAGTTCATGCGTGTAGCGGAGTGGAGAGCCTGTTCGTGCTACACGATCGCATGGGCCTCATCAGGTTCACCCAACTGACTAGCAGACTCCCCTTACACGAAGACGCATGGCACACATGGCACGTCCCCAGCAGCTCCGCGGCTTCACTCCGCAGCATTCGGCTGCAGGTGTTGGACCAACTCCATGTGAGCAACCCGACGCGAATGGCTCCAGCCCACATATACGATTAATGTTCTGGAAGGTTGAAGCAATGTCAGGGTCTAGGGATCTTCCACATGCCGGGGGCTTCGGTTTGCATTCACGGCTGCAGTTTGTACAAAGCTGCGCGTCTGAGCTTCGCGGGTTTCACCTCCGTGTGGGTGGGGGCACCCTCTTGTGAGTAGACGGTCTCCGACATCTCGCGCGACGAAATAGGCGGAACAGCTGCTGCATGCTGCCATCAGGTCGGTTTGTTGCTGATCCTTAGCCGTAGCCGGTGAGTTGCCACCGGTATTGATGCAGCGACAACAGTCTTTCTTATTCTTGCTTTCAAAACTCGCGTGATCATCTATCAGATCTGCAATCCGTATCAGAGTGATTCTGGCGACGAAGTGCTTGGTCGAGACCATACTACTAGTATCAAGGTGATGAGGGGTGGTGACGCTCCTGGCGGACACGAGGCGTAGTATCGGTTAAAGGCTCCTTTCGACTTGACCCAGTGGACCGGTCACAGCGGCTTGCCTAAATCCCAAATACCTGTCTGAAGCCCGAAGCCCAAATCCCTTAACCCTAAGTTACTACTATTTGCTTAAGAACCCCCCCACAAAATAGAAAATATATTCCTTATGGGGGTAATATAGGGATTACATTTGTATTTTTTGGGTGTTTCTTAAGCAAATAGTAGGTTACCATAGTAAAGAAACCCTAATATTTACTATAGATCCTTAATATGACTAATATGGTAGCTCTAAACCTGAATGCCTAAGCCCTAATCCCGCAAAAGTACTGTCCTTGCTAAGTAGGACGGAAAAAATCCGGCAAACTCGAAGCACTGGCTCAAATGATCGAAGCGTTGGCAAGCCGAGTGAGGGACACGGCCATGGCCTTTCCCAGCTCCTTCGGCTTCAAGAAGCATGCTTCGGGGCACTTTGGGGTTCGGGTTAGGGTTTAGGGGTTTCGGGCTTAGGGTTCAGGGTTTTGGCTTTGGGGATTAGGGTGCCACTTCGGGGTTCGGAGTTAGGGTTGACCGTTCATTCTTCGGGGGTTTTAGGGGGATGAGGGGTGAGGGGTATGGGCACTGCAGCCCCTCCTCAGCAAAGGCTTAAGGCTGGCTAAGAGCACATTCTGCAATTCTACAGTCGACCCCGCATCAAGACCTGAAAGGACCACAATTAAGCAACAACTTCTCGCCCGGTTGACCCGGAGCTCCGAAAGCCAGATGTCCAACACCCTCTCCAGATACCAATGCCAACTCCCTCGGTTTAGGGTTTACAGTTTAGAGTCTAGAGTTTACGTTTAGGGTTTAGGATGCTTTAGGGCTTAGGGTTTTGATCTAGGGTTTAGGGTGTTATTAAACTTCCCCTGGACCCCACGAAACATCCCGACACCCTAAAGGCGACAACGGCTTTGGGCCTCTTTGGTCGTCCGACAATGCCTGCGAACCGCTGAAAGTGGCGGTCGAAGATGAAGGCTTGACTCTACAGATTAGGGGTTCACGGCCTGGGGATTCCTCAAAGAGATTACATATTTGTATATATATATACATGTATACATACTATACATGCACACATACACGTGCATACAAACAGACAGACACACAGAGAGATATACATACATACATGACACATACATTTACATATATATATATATATATATATATATATATATATATATATATATATAATATACACACACATACACATACACATGCAAATGCAAATGCAAATACATATACATATACATGTAGAGGTATCTATAAGGGTTACGTTATACATGGATACATGGTTTAGCGTAGGGGGCTGACCGGTTAGGGCCTGAGGCAAAATATGATTTGGCGATTCATTGAGTCGGGGCGCGCTGACGTTTTTTAAATGTGTGGAGGGCGCCCTGGCGCCCAACCTGCCAACTCTCCGCCCAGAGAGAGCCCATTACCCTTTGATCAAGGAATGTGCCTTGCATCATAATATGAAGCCCGCTATGGTTCAAGGTATCTACCTTATGGTTTGAGGTATATTACTCAATTCAGGGGTATTGGGCCTCTGAGCAGTCCTCAGTCCACCATTCCTCCAGCCCAGAAGTGCTCCAGCCAGGCAGGCTCAGGCTTCGTTCCTGAGTAGTACCGTTTTGACCTTTCCCACTTTGGGTTCTCCTTATTGAAACAACATATTTGGAAAAATGGTACCTTAATTATTCAAGGGCCACTCAGGAACCTAGGAATAGAAAGCTCGAAACGATGAGCCAGGGAATCCTGCGTCCGGCTGTTCAAAAACAGTAGGCCTTCCAGTTTGCAGTCATTGCAAAGCGGAGTACCCTCCAGTCCAAGCCCAACACCAGAGAACTTGCGAGGCGAGCCCAAATGCCGAAGCGAAGTTGGGTACCCGGCTGAGAAGGTACCGGGGAGGGGGGAGCCACTTGTCTAGGATTCAGGGTCTGAGAGTTTTAAGGTTCAGGCCTGAGTGTAAGGGTTTAGGTTTAGGATTTTGGTTCAGGGCTTAGGGTTCGGGATGAGCGATTGCCTCAGAGATGGGCCATTCGTCGGGGTTTGGGATGCAGGGTTTAGTCAAGTCCTATATGGGGGTTTCCGAAAATGAGGGGTACTTTCTGTAGAAGTCCTTATAATAAGGATTGGGTACTTTCTGTAGAAGTCCTTGTAATAAGGATTCTACCATTTAGGGTACTGTATTACGGTCCCCTATTTTCGGAAACTTCCATATAATCATGCAATCTCCTTAGCAGCTGAGTTTAAAACTTTAAACCCTTTTGGGATAATGAAACCTTCTTAAAACCGAAAGTTTAAACTTTTCGGGCCAATGCACTCGGCAACTAAGTCTCTGTAAAAAGCTCTTGGGCTCCCCCAGAGCCCCCCAATTGTTGTTTCTTGGCGGTTCATGGGGAGTTATGAGTGGAGTTATGAGTAGGGTAAGTTATATATTTACTATATTATAAGTGGAGTTCTAAAGTAGGGTAACTTCTCATATTTGCTATATTTAGAACCGATATGGGGGGACTAAGAACCTCACGGAACCATGTATTGCAGGCTGGTGTCGTCCCCCCGCCGGGTCTGGTCTCTTCCGCGGAGACGCAGGCTCGTGCAGAACTTGGGACTTGACTTTAGCTATTGTGATTATTGAACCAGGGAGCGTTCATGTTCGTTTCGGGGTCCGTCTTTCTCTACTTCCCCTCGCCGCCCACTTAAGATTGCATTCCGAGATATATAGACTGTGCTCTATCACCAGCCTTTTTGCAGTGAAACTTTCAGCAAGGGAGACATTTGACGATTTGACGTCTCGCACGCCGGGCCCCATGTCCGACCACCAATGCCCTGGTTGAAGCCGATTCAAGCCGTGCGGTGCACAGCAAGCCCTTCAAAGTTCAACCACCCGCGAGTCCATGCGGTTTTTGTCGCAGGAGCCTCAGCATTTGTTGTTATTCCTTTCCAGACCCCTGCTGAGCATAATATACCCGAACACCCTACTATGCTCCTGCCTCCATGCAAAGGGATTGCAGCAACAGCAGGAGAAGCAGCAGCAGTGATGATGGTAGTAGCAAGAACGGTGCAATGAGCCGTGACAGAAGGAACCTTCAGGTGGAGCTTGACGCGGAAGCGTGATGATGCAGGTTGTAGGATTTAGGAATTTAGGGTTTAAGGTTTAGGGTTAGGGTTTTAGGGATTAAGGTGTATAGGGTTGAGGCATCAAAGATCAATGGACGGTTTAGTTGTTCGCCCGGAAGGCAGCTGCTTTTAGCCCAATCGGCCCGCCTTCCAGTGCGGCGGCGGCACGCTGGGAGGGTGGAGTGGGAGTGTATTTCTACTTGGAGGTTCATGGGTAGTTATAAGTTGGGTTGTAAGTCCCCTGAATATGGGTTATAATTATGGTTACCCTACTTCTAACTCCACTTATAAACTACCCATGAACCTCCAAGTAGTGAACGAGCGATAAGCGCCTAACTCGAAGTTTTGGCCCTCAGACGGGAAGTTTATGCTCAGTGCGTTTCAACCTGGACCCTGGTGGGGTCCCAGAGACTCCAATATCCCTTAACTAAGGAATATACCTTAAATTATAGTAGGATCCTTAATATGATTTAAGGTATATTCCTTAATTAAGGGATATTGGAGTCTCTGGGGGGTCGGGATTGGAGCTGCGCTTGAGCTTTGCAAGGCTGCGCGCCTCGCCGCAGCAACTGACGATAAGGCAGCAGCGGGGCACGCTGGGTTTCGTGGTGCTGAGGCTCAAACTATATATATATATATATATATATATATATATATCTATATATATATATATATATATATATATAATACAATATAATATAATATAATATAATATAATATTATATTATATATATATATATATATATATATATATTAACGAAGAGGAGCAAGACTCTCCTGCACCTGCTTATGGTAACGGACTTTGTGCCTTTCCTCACACCTGAAGTTTCCTACGAGCCTACACCTTCAAACCCTCAAGCCCAAGCCCTCGCCCGTTACCCAACCCCAAAGCATCCGACAAACTTGTTCGTGGAGGCCAGAGAAGCATGTATACGCATGCGCATGCGCATGCGCATGCATGCATACGGGCTTGTTCTGGACACACCCCCCTATGTAATATGCGCACTCTCATGTACTTCCCTAAGGGTTCTTATTGCGGAAGAAAGAAAACTCATTAGACCGCATGCTTAAACTCCGAAACCGCAACATGCTACATGCTTAGAGTAGTTAAAGTACGCCTTTAAATGGAGCCCTTAAAGGAACGCTATTCCAATGATGAAGGCCCTGCACTAATCCCCATAGCCTTGCTCAGGGTCCTCTCGAGCGACGAGTTGCTGCACTGGAAGAGGACCCCTGAGAATCACGGGATCCATGAATTAGGGTCCCAAGCGGCACATAATAAGCCTAAGCCTAAGCATTTTACCGGGATATCCCTACCTTATTGGGCTTCATTATAAGGGTTTATACGGGATATCCCTATCCTAATTTTTGCTTATGGGTCCGAATGAAACCGCAGATTGAGGCCTTGCAGGATTAGAGCTCCTTTAAGGGATTCTTTAAGGGCTCCTTTCAAGGGTACTATCAGGGTTTCTTGAAAGGGCTCTAGAAGGGTTTAGGGTTTAAGCTTTGGGGTTTGGGGAGGGGTACACTAAATTTGAAGTTCCTAAATCCCGAAAGCCATCAAGGGTGAGACTCTCTTGCCGGACCCCTTAAGATCAACGGGTCTTGCCTGGATTGTCCGAGCTCTGCGAGTCCAAATCTCTAGAATCAGAAGTCCACAAACCCCTGCCGCTCCATGTGCAGAGTGTCTGCGTCGAGCTCCGTGTTTGATTTTTTTGCACCGTCAGCTGTTGGCGGGAAGCAACCTTATGGCAATTCCAAAGCCCTTACACCCCGCAAGGCTAAAGGCCAAAGCAAGCACCGGGCGGATCGTAGGGCGGAGGGGGGGTGTTTCGAGGGTAAAGGTCACCAGGATGGCTTCTAAAGCTCCCAAAATCCCGACCATCCTAAACCCCTAAACCCTAAACCGCCCTAAATCCCAGGAGGCCCTACATCCTAAACCCCTAAACCCTAAACCGCCCTCCAGCCCTAAACTCTCAAATCCCAGGAGAATCGCGCGCTCCGTGCAGCCCTGGCCTCGCTTCAAGACATCGGAGCCAGCAGAGCGCCGAGCTTTGGGATTTTAGGGTTTTAGGGATAGCGGCAACCTACCAGGCGTCCTTGCAAGCAAGCCTGCAGCAAAAGGGTTTTGGGGATGTCATTGCAATTGTGGCGAGTCTGTTCTCCTTGTATTCAGCAAGTGTAAAGACGACTCGCTCGGACCGGGCTGCTGGACAACCAGGCCTGCTGCAAAAAGGGTTTTGGGCGGTTGAGAGTGGTCGCATGCAAGGCATTATGTCTTGTGTGTTTCTTCTTTCTTCAGGGTACCCGGCAGTCGCAATTGGCCTGGATGCAAAAGGGTTTTGGGCGGTTTAGGGATCTGGAGTTGGGCTTTGGGGTTTTAGGTTTTTAAGGTTCTGTCGTCTTTAACAGCCCTAACAGCCAGCTTTGCACCACGATGCCCATTGTGCTTCCATGCAGAGCTTGATTCAGGCAGAAGTGTCGCGCAACGGAACGGGTGGCCTTTGACGTCAAGCTTGACGATGCCCGCGTAGTGGGGCCAGAGCCATGGAGAGCAACACTTTTCGTCCACTGGTCGTGTAAACCTGAGTTGGCATCGGGGTCTTTGTGCATTTTCGGACCACAAGCCGGATCGTCCGAGCGAACAGCTTCGGATCGAGATCTGGCGGCCGTGTGGTTAAAAGACAAACCTGGACCCTGTGCCTGTGACTCCGTACTTCTAGAGCAGCCTCGGTGTGCAGGCCAACCGCACGGCACGTGTGAATTGCTCTCTGGCGGTCAGCCGCACTCTCGACGACGCTCCTCCCAAGCAGATGGGAGTGATACGCACACCAAAATTCGACGTGTACAAAGGTTTCTGCCTTTCCAGAGTGTCCTGGATTTCGTATATATAAATAAATATAAATATATATATAGATAGATAGATAGATAGATAGATAGATTTTTTTGATTTTTTCAGGAGTTCGGGCGCGACTCGTCGAATTTGCATGGTGATCGGTTGTTCAATGGTGGTCAGCGCTGGAACACATAAGCTGGGCGGAGTTTCAGTCAACTCCTTTACCGCAGACGAACTTTGCGCCCAGCTTCGCAAACTCACTCTTGGTCCTTCGTAACACCTCCGGCTGTCAAGTTCGTCAGGGCACTCTGTCCGCACGCAGAAGGCTTTGCCTTTCTGCTCTCGCATGTCAAAACTCTTCTGCCGCATGGCCAGCTTCCATCTGCTATGGCATTTTAAGCTTTAAGGTTTCGGGGTTCAGGCTTTTATCGGCTTTAACTACCTAGGTTTATCACGGCCAGGGTTTCTTAGATCAGGGCTTCGAAGGCGGTTAGGTCTACTGAGTCAGGGCTCTGGGTCAAAGACTGCCCACGCGCGATCCACCGAAGTCTTGATTGAACTGTCTGTGATTGAAGCCTTAACCCTAAACCCTAATGGACCTTTAACAAACCCTTATTTTGGATTTCCTAAACTTTTTGGGAAGGAAGCAATGGGGTACAAGGTTTGTCCGGAATTGAGCTCCAAACAAGCATGTTGGTTCGATCAGATCCAAGAGTTCTCCTGTGTTGCAGTGGACAAGTTTAGCTTATTATATTATGCTATGCCGTAGTATGCTATCGTACTGTAGGCCTTACTAGATATTCGGTTCTATTTTGTTCTATTCTGTTCTAATCCATTCCGTCTTGTTCTCTGATTCTCTGCTATGCCATGCTATTTTGTTTTGTGCATTCTCTGGCTATGGAAATCAAACATATTTTGTTCTATCCGGTTTTTATGCATGTATTTTGGCAAAATATACGAAATGTGTTATATTATGTTTTGTTATGTTATATTATGCTACATTTTTACGTTATACGATCTTGTATTAAAGTATGCCGCAGTGTGCTGTCGTACATTACAAGTTGTTATATAGGAAAATTCTACATGCTCGGTTTTATTATGATGCATTGTACTCTGTTATGTTTTAGTATGTGATACCATTTTACGTTTTATTGTATTATAAGTTTTTTAAATTCATTGTATTTTCATTGTTTTACAGTTCATTGTATTGTTGTGTCATGTTAAGTTGTATTGTAATATATCATGTTATATTGCAGTATGATATGTTACGTTGTGTTGCACTGTGTTGTATGATATTGTTTAGAGTAGCTTCTGGTTAGAAAAGGATTTGTGTCTTGCCTGCAGTGGTTACTAAAAACAATAATTCGGATTTCAAGATCTGTTTGGCAGGTTCGGGTTTTGAGGTGTGCCAGGACGCATCGAAACAGTTCTGACTGTTCGGAACGGTTTCCAACTATTCAGGGACACCGCTGCATATAGTTCCCAAGAATGTGCCGATAGATCCTGAGGTTTTTTGCAATAGTTCCAAAGCCCCTCTGAGCAGTCACACATGAACAAGCCACAGAGCATGCCAAGATATTGTCTTGCTTTGCATCTTTGCTAGAGTCTTGATAGCTGTGAACCCGACAAGGCATGCTGCGGAGCCTGGCAGGGGAGAATCCGCAGGCAGGGCGGGAAACGTTGCTGGGCCGGTGGCCTGGGCTCTTCGCACGCCGGCCCTAAGTGCTGAGAGCTCACAATGTTGAATTTACACCACGACGTCGACGACAATTCTAATAGTACCACGGTTGCTGGAGAGAATTTACCTGTTGTTGTACCTGATAATAAGCACTCGTAGTGGGTTATGATTTTGGGAAAGTACGTAGCGCTTGGTGTTAGAGGCGGAGCACTAGTAGCAGCAAGGAGCAGTGCTCACCAAACCTGCTGCGCGCCCAAGTCTTCAGAACCCCTGGCCCGAAAACCCCTAAACCCGGACACTCTTTGCCGCATGCCCCGCCTGGAATGTCCGAGTGTGAGCGCTGCAACATCCCTAAGTCTTCAACCTTAAACCCTACACCTCTAATAATCCTGAACTAGGATGCCCAGTAGTACCCTTATTCCCTTTTTCTAGTCCTAGGTTCCTTATAAAGTTACCCAATACCAGAAGAGAGGCCTTTTTATTCCTAGGTTACTGGGTATCCTAGTTAAGCCCCTGGCTCGCCTTTGCGGGATGCAGCCAGGCTTCAGATCAGTCTGGAACAGCCGCACCGGTCGCTGCAGCCGCTGCAAAGCCGGAAGGGGGGAGTTCAGAGTTTTGCTTCATGCTTTAAAGGTTTAGGGTTTAGAGGATTAGGGTTTAGCCCGACAGTGTTTGCTGGCACATAATCCGAGCCCATACTGAATTTTGAGGTTTTGGGCTTAGGGAATCGCAGTCCTTCAAAAAGGGGTGCTCGGGTTTATGGCTTAGGGCTTGTGTAAACGGGGTTTAGGGCTCTTTTGCTGTAAAAGGGTCAACTCATCCCAGGAGGCTGTCTTGCTTGGAGCCACCTCGAGTTCCGTACGCGAGACGAACGGTTCATTTGCAGAGCCAACACGTCTGACAAGGCCCGAAAATAGAATCTGCGTCAATGTGGAAACTTCTCCTCACTAAGTTGCTTTCGGTTGCCGCAGCCCGCAACTGTAGAGTCCAACAGCGCTTAAGCGCGTCCTTGGAATGTCGTGAATGTCGTGTGCTTCCTGATGACAGGCTGTCGCCCGCGCCCACAAGCCTCGAATTGAACGGAGACACAGGACCACGTGAGCCTCTGGAGATTGGGGCTTTCCGCGAACATAGGAATTTTAGGGGCTGGGAGTGTGATGTGCGCTTCAGGTCTTGATGGTTGAGGCTCTCACGATCTCTTACGTCGTGTTGCAAGTTCACGCTTTCGCGAGAAGGCACCGAAAGCCACGTACATGCCTTGCAGCTGAATCTCGCTGGAGCAGGCCGAGTAGGCTTCCCAAGATCAAAGAGGACAAAAACGTTGAATCCCTAAAAACAGCCACAGACTTCAAGTTGCACTCCTAACCTCCCGAACGCAAGCCCCTTCCCGTATTGCAGTCCCTCGACACTCTTGCTGCCATCTAAACCCGACGTAAACCCTGGACCTCATGCACACCAAAGCCACCATTCAAAATATTCTTGTTTTGGCCCAAGCTCCATGCAGAAAGGACCGGCAAAGGTTGGAGAGGTGCCCGCGGTCAGCGGAAATTAAGGGGCTTTTAGATTTTAGAGTTTATAAGGTTGATTTGGGCTTGTTGCACGGATTGAGGGGTGAGGGCTTCAGGATTTTTTTGTCTCTCACCACTTCACAGAGAGATACGAGAAGCCATAATGCCCGAAAAGCCCCACCTTAAGCCTGCAACACAGGGCAGAGAAGGCTGACCTGAAACTACCAAAATACAATACCTACTCTTTTGCAGGTTCTTATTGTACACAACCCTCATAGCGAACACAAAGTAGGCTTTCGTGGTTTATGGCAGGGTTTCTTCCAGGGGCTGTTCTGATCGAGCTTGCAGGAGCTGGCGCTTTCAGTAACACAGAAACCTCACCCAACTGTAGTTGAGGTGTATATAGACATAGGAATACAATGGAATACACCCAGAATGGGACGCAGGTATATGGGCTTGCTTCAGGAAATGGCTTTGAATTATGTAAAGGGTTCGAGCCTCTGCCATGCAGGGCCACCCCGAGATGGTGGAATTCCCTCAATAAGTCATGCCTTAGGATGCTGCAGGACTCAGTTTACAGGGAACTCCAGAAAGTTGGAATATGGTTTCATGGTAGGATACCCTATAATTCACCATAGAGGGGTTAGGATAATCATATTCCAACTTTCTGGCTTTTACCTTCGGGTCTGGAGATGGCTGCAGGACTCAGTTTAAGGTCTGGAGATGCTTAAGGTTTAGAGGTTAAATCGGGTTTTGGAAAGGATGCTTCAAGAAGAGTTTGGGGCTGAAACACGCAAACGCGCTGAGCAAGGCTTTAGCCCAGAGCTGTACAGGTGTCGGAATCCAACAGCAATTTGTGCTGGCTCGTGGTGATGGGGTTGAGTCTGCAGGGCAGGTACAGACTTCGGTTACTTAGGTAGAGCAGTGTAAACGAAACATCCAGCTATAAGCTACTGTCTATCTACAGTAAGCTGGTTTGACCAAAATATATTTCACCATGATTCCGTTTGCACATGCTTACAAGAAGCCATGTGATTGTATGGTGTACGTATGCATGTATGCATGTATTTTTGTATGAACTGTATCTGTATACAGTATAAGAGTATACAATATCGTTTACTGTGTATATATAGATGCATCCATACATATATCTTTACACCAACATCAGCTTCAGCTCCATGCCCCCCCCCCCCGACAGTGTGCGACATCCCAAAACCGTAGCACTGGAACAAGCCTTTTGGTAGGGCTCCGGTTGCCAAAATTTATGGGTTACTGGAGCAAATGCTACATGGTCAGTAACCTACTACCTAAGTAACTGGAGCGCCAAGTTGTCGCATGGTGTCGCGTTCCCATCAGAGAGTTTCCGAAAATAGGGGACCCTAACATAGTACCCTAAATAGCAGGATCCTTATTACAAGGACCCCCAAATAAGGTACCCCTAATTTTCGGAAACTCCCCAACCCTAAACCCTTTATATGTGTATAGAACCCTTATAGATCCCTTTAAAGGTACCCCTAATTTTCGGAAATTCCCATCAAGAAGAGCGCAAGGTCGAAATCCCCGCACCGGTGACCTTCAGTTTCAGCATCCGCAAGGCCAGATACAGTGTTTAAAGGCTCCGTAGCGTAATTTGGTACTTTCCGAACATTAGGGCACCTTGTTTGGGGGTCCTTATACTGAGGATCCTACTATTTAGGGTACTATATGTATTAGGGCCCCGTATTTTCGGAAATTCCCATTTAGGGCCTGAATTACTACCGATCCTGTTCGGGGGTTCCTTACTGCATTATAGTTACTGTATAATACACACCAATGCCATGGTCTAATTATTCCGACCCTTTTTTGAGTTTGGGCCAATAAGAGAACACGATCAGTCGTGACTTATAGTCTCATAGTGTGGTCATATAATATGTGGCCATACAAGAATCGATTCAATGTAGTCCTATTCAAACCAGGGTGCTGTATTGTGGAGTGGAGGATCAAGGTTCGGTTCCCGAAAGAGTCTTCCCGAGCGATCGGGATTCAGGCTTCCACATGCCAAAGGCCTGTTGATCGTCCTGGAAGCCCACCAGGTTTCTGCTTGTTTCCTCCTTCGTGGGTTAGTATAGGGGCCTTAACAATGACCAGTACTATTTTTGGGGTTAAATCGCATTCTGATTATTAAGGCCCTTGTATCAGTCTGAATGGCCCCTTTAAACTCACTGCGAGGCCCGTCATTGCCACGTACTGCCCCCCGTCATAATCATAACCGCTTTCTACGGCAATGTATCCTTGATACGCTGTTACAAGGCCAGCGCTCAGCTGCCGCACAAGTTTTCGTATAAGGAACTACAGATACCAAGTGGGACTTTCATTTCGGCAAAAGGTTCAGTTATCACCGACGCTACGTACCCCAAACCCGCAACCCTGAGGGTCAGGGTCGAGGGCTCCTTTAAGGGTTCCTATGAGGGTCCATCCTTTAAGTGTTCATTCAAGGTTCCTTTGAGGGCCCCTTTAAGGGTTCCTTTCAGGGTTCCTGTCAGGGATCCTTTATGGCTTCCTTTTGTAAAAGGCCGACAACACCGACTTGGGCCTCGATGTGGCGTCGATCGAGAATCAGCCGCCGGGCCAAATGGGTGGTTGTCAAAACTAGGGTCCCTTTTTGGGTCCCTAATATAATACGGCACCTAATATTTCGGGTACCCAAAAAGGGGCCCTAATTTTGACAACTACTCAAATGGGAGTTTCCCAAGATTTCCCTCAGTCGGAGGGCTCTGTAGGATGCAGGCCACCACTCAAGAGGAAAAGCGCCATGAGCCTGGAGCTTCAAGGTTGGGTTCAGGGAAACTCAAATGGGAGTTTCCGAAAACTAGGGGGTACCCAATACTAAGGATCCTACTATCTAGGGCACTATATTCGGGTCCCCTATTCTGGGAAACTCCGAAATAGAGGAAACTTCGCCACACCCGCCAAGTGGGAGCCAAAAAACTCTGTACGGATCCTTTGTCCTAGGTAGAAGTAGGGAGACCCCTTTAGAGGGGGCCCTTCTTACCCCTGCTTCTGATAGAGGAAACTAACCCCATACAGATCCCTAGGTAGTATCAGCGGCAGCCTTTAAAGAGAACCCTTCTTGGCCCTTAGAAAATGTAATCCACTAGGTGGCAATTTGGGAAACGTTTTAGTTTCCCTTATGGTTCCTATAGAGGTACCTATTCATAAATACTTTTCAGAGCCCCGAAACTACAACCCAGTCCAGTAACTCATGATTCGGGTAACTGGAGCCTGGAGCCCGATCTCTGAAGTCAGGGCTTATGTAGAGTCTTAGCTGGAGTGTTTGGTTTAGGGTTTACGGATGTTTAGGGTCTGATATGGTCTGCTAGTTTTAGAACGTGCCGTGCTACAGGCCCGAGTTTATGAAAGGTTCTCTAACTGAGGTACGTTGGCTTCCTGTGTTTATAGGTGTGTAAACAGCACTGTGTAAATGAGCAATCCGTTCTACACGAACAACACGGGCCTGCATTCCGACGCACTACTGACCCCTTGTTACTATTCCCGCTGCTGCTCATTACCACTGCTACTGCTGCTGCTTTTCCTCGACCGCGACCATGACGATGACAACGACGTCGACTCCGACAACGCATATGGCGACGATGACGACGACTGCTGCTGCTGCTGCTGCTGCTGCTGAAACAGCAAAACTGGAGCGGCGACGACAACAACAACAACTACTTCTGCTAATATCACTTCTTCTGCTACTACTACGACGACGACTACTACTTCTTCTACTCCTACACGCAAGGTTTTTCATTCCGGCTGCGTTCACGATCAGGGAAAGAAAAAGTGACCAACAAAGCCGTTTCGGGCCTCCCCGACAATCCAAGTCAAGTCCTGGAAGACCCCCCTAAGATCTTCGTAGCATTGAGCCCTCAGCTTGCATGCTCTGAGGCACAAAACCAAACTAAACCCCAAACTCCCAAACACTCAACAAAAAAACCTACAGACCCTAAACCCTAAATCGACCTCTCCTAACCCAGGCCCGGCCTCCTTGTTGAGAGAATTCTGCCGGGGGGCGCTGCAGAGGTGCCAAAAAGGGAACTCCAGAAAGTTGGAATATGGTTTCAGTGTAGGATACCTTATAATTTACCATAGAATGGTTAGGATAATCATATTCCAACTTTCTGGCTTCTACCTTAGGGGGTCCGTGGAAAGGATGCTAAGTATGCCTTTAGGATATTTGCGAATATTGTAGAAAGGATGCTGTAGGGGCCTTTGGGATATTTGTTTGAGATTTTCCCTTATTGGGTTAAATAGGACCGGATACGGTAGGGGCCTTTGGGACATTTTGTTTTTTAAGAGCCACAACGGGCTTAAAGTTTCATAGGGGCTTAGACTAGGTAGGCCTTTGAGATCTTTTATATTTTCCCTTATTAGGCGTACTAGGACCGTAATTTACGAATATTTTTCAGAGGCTTGAAAGGGACAACCTAGGATGCTATAAGGGCCTTAATGATTTGCAGTACTGTTTTTGGGGGGTAACTTGCTATAACTGAAGTATAATCCCATGTTATAGTCCGACAGGTAACACTGATCATAGCATTAGGGGTCGGTATATTCCTTTATAGTCCGACCCAAAGGTGATGATACTATAACATTCACAGAAACCTGCATGTAATATAGAGGTCGGAAGAATGAATGTCACTACCATTCCCTCATATCACCCAAGGTGATACTAGCAGCACTAGGCGTCGGAAGAAACATTACTACTCCCTGATAGTCCGAAAGGCGACACTAATAATTGCGTTAGAGGTCGGAAGAATCATTTACACTACTACTCCCATAATAGTCCCACAGGCGATGCCAATTACAGCCTGAGGGGTCGGAAGTGTCAGTAGCACTACTTTTCCCTTATAGTCCTGAAGGTGGTGGTGATGCTCATGATGGTATAGTGGATACGTCTGAGTATTTCCGTTATCATCCCAGAGGTGATGATGCTAATGATGGCATACACCGAACCCCTATCCTACTGATTAGGGCCACCCCTATATGAGGGCCTCTACTTGTATGGTTCTTACAGGGTCTTTAGAGCATTTTCGTAGTTGATGTAGGGGTTTTCGGGTCAGGGTCTAAGGCGAGCTTGTGAGGTCATGACCCGGGCCATCCTTACTGACCCTCCTTTGTTCGGGTTCTGTAGCCTAGGTGGTTTGATAGGTGAAGTTTAGCTTTCGGATTTAGGGGGTTTTGGGGGTTGGGTTTGAGGGTTTAGAGAAAGGGGCTTGCAGAATCTTGTCGAGCTGCACCGTTGTATAGGGAAGGCTATATGGGTGGTTGTCAAAATTATAGTCCCTTTTGGGTATAATACGGCACCTATTACTTAGGGTGATTGCATTTTGGCCGGGTTGCATCTGTCACGGGGGCCTGTGGTTTCCATGCAGCTGACTCAGCCGTCAGAATGCTGAACAAACTCCAGGGTCATGGCATACTCATGCATAATCTTTTCAGCTAGCTGCCTGTTCTGTCCATACCGTGAGTGCAAACCTTTGAGTCGAGAGCTTAACCTTCAACAAGGTAATTCAGGGTGAAATCAGCCGAAGCCTGGCCACCCCAAGCCTGAATGTCTGTGAAGCGGTGATGCCAAGCAGCTCAAATCCTCAAACCCTCCTAAGCCCCAACCTTTGTTGCTGAGTGGATACACTTTACACCTTTACACTTACTTTTTGGGACCATATCACGCAAAACCAAAAGTACACAACTTTTGGGGCTTATGAACTCAGCAAATAAGCAAACCCGAAGCGGTAACGCAAGAAATCTCCGAGAGGCTTGGAACAGGCAGCAGGATCCCGGCAGCAGTGACTTGGCGCTATTCTGTTCGGCGGGGAGAGGGACGCTTCACCGGATGTCCCTGGACGATGCTTAAAGGATCATGGGACTTGGTAACTAGGGTTCCTTAAAGGGCTCCTTTAAAGGGATCTATAGGGTTTAGGGTTTAGGGTCTACTTAAAGGATCGTGGGACTTAGTAACTAAGGTTATACTTAGGGTAACTATACTTATAACCCCAATTAAGGTACTTATAACCTCACTTACTAAGTCCCATGATCCTCGAAGTAGAGTCTAAAACCCTACTTGAAGGTTCATGGGTAATTCCGGGTGGGATTATAGGTAGGTAACCATAGTTATAACCCACGTGAGGGGAGGACCTATAGCCTACCCACGAAACTTCAAGTACAGTCAACAAGAAACCCTAATCCGAAAACAAAACAGTTCGCCTTTGCTATGTCAGGTCGGTTAGGCTTTGCGACCGTGGCAATTAAGGCCGTTTTGGGGCTGTTGCTCCTGCCCCTGCTGCTGTGTTCACCACGTCGAAAGCACATCACATCTTGTCAATATTTGTCAATCTGGAACTTGGATGCTGGGTGGATTCAGTGCGGAGTGATATCCGCTCATGGCATGTAGCAGCGATACAAAAACACAACCCTTTCCCGGGGGGCCCTTCCCACCGTGACCGATGTGCAGAGCTCACGTACACACTACACGGCCGTCTCAAGACCTCTTGTTGTATGCGTGCTTGACAGCGTTATGTTAAACCATACGGATCTCTAGCTTCAAGGTGGCCTCACCCATGCACCTTACACGACCATGCTTTCACAAAGCACGGACCTGTATAAGCCAAAAATCCTTCCAATTGAAGTGGGGCCGAAGGTTCTGCGAGGGACTTGCGCCGCGGCGACACGATCCTCAAGGTGAACATGGCCGAAGGCAAGCTGACTTTAGGGTCTAAGCTGTTACAGTCTGTGATCTTCGTAGACTGATGCCCTCTCAGCTGTAGATGCGCTACCCACAGCAGCGGGCTTAGAGAGACAAATCAGTGCTGCGTCAGATGGGATACGCTCAGAGCGGAATGAAGTTGCCACGGACTGCAGCGCTGACAGACAAGTGCAAGAGATGGCCAACACTATCACTAACTCGATGTTGGCATCATTCAGAAAATGGCAGAACAGGTCGCACAGGTTGTCTGGAGCAGTTTACGGTCTGCAGCCAGAAGGTCCCCAGCCTATCCGGCATAGATAATAAGTTATTGCATCCGGTGCAATGCGCCGCTACTTGGCGTCGCCATGGGTTGAGGCCAACCTCCGGCACCTCCCAAAGGGCGGACGGGCGCTGGATATAGGCTGTGGCAAGGGGCGGCACTCGCTGCTTCTGCTGGATCTTGGATTCGAGGTCACAGCTCTTGACTGCGATGCGGCGGTGCTGGCAGAACCTCAGAAGCATAGCAGGCAAGCTTTAACCTCAGATAGAAACTGGGAGGACTTCAGTTTTTTTTGGTCTGACATATTTGGTCCATCCTGCAAAGCTTGAACTTCTTCGGCACTGGCGAAAAGAAGAGAGTGATTAAGTGCTTATGGTGTTGCAATCCCCAGGTTATCCCAAAGGAACACCTCGAACTCCACCAAACAAAGACCGGCCAAGCGAGGAGCTGAGGCGCCGCGTGCCCCAAGAGCAGCTCCCTCGGCTCTCCACCTGCATGGAGGAGGCTTTGTCATGGTTGGGTAACATTTTGCCGGTTTATGGGGTACTTAAACCCAATAAGGAACTAAGTCCTTATCTTTGTCATAGTTTGGTAATCTTTTACATTTTTATGGGTACTTAAACCCAATAAGGAACTAAGTCCTTATCTTTGTCATAGTTTGGTAATCTTTTACATTTTTATGGGTACTTAAACCCAATAAGGAATAAACATGTACATTTTTAATCCTAATTATCCCAACAATGAACTAGGATTTGGAGGCCCAGGCCTCTCTCGCGGCACTGCTGGGCCCTCCCTTCGCCGTGGTCTTCGTGGTGAACTACTTCTGCCGGCCCCTTCTGCCGCAGATTTTGGAGCTTCTTTGTCATAGTTGGGTATCATTTTACATTTTTTATGGGGACTAAAACCCAATAAGGAATAAACCTGTAAATTTTTAATCCTATCCCAACCATGAACTAGGCTTGTGGCGCCGGAGGGCATCCTGATTTTTGAGGCCTGGGCGGAGGGTAACCAGCAGTTCGCCAAGCCCAAGTCTGCACAGGCAGGAGGTTCCGCAAATTAGGGGTACTTGATGGCTTATAATAAGAATCTTATACTAGTTAGGGTACTCTATTAAGGTCCCCTGTTTTCGGGAAATCCCAGGTAGTAGAGCAACGCCTACTCCGGGCCAACGAGCTGTTGCAGCTAGCACTGCCGAAGTTCACTGTATTGGCCTATGCGGACGGCCTGCAACTTACCTTTGGTTAGTAGGGAATGGAGGACTGGGGTAGAATTATAACTACAATTACTACCATTCTCCCATTCCCTATCAAGCAGAAGTAAGGCAAGAGGACTACGAGGGTCGAGAGTGTGCCAAGCAGATGATCTGCGCACGACGTCAACAGAAGAACGGGCCGACAAACGGAGGAGAGTCGGGTTGCTATGCCAAGCTGGATGAGGAGCCATTAACCTCTTTCCTAAGGCCCGGCGCATCGACAGCGACGTTGCTGGAGGACCCCGGCTTCGGGATCCGATTTCGCACAGCACGCGGCGCGTTACCTTACCTGGACTTCGGCGTGGAGAAGCTACTGAAATCACTTCATGACTTCGACCCAAAGGCTGCCCGCAGCTCTCAGCTGGCACGGATGGAGCAGCGACTGCAGCACGGTGAGCAGGAGGCAGCGCCCTCTGGTCCTCTCCCGCCCTTCAGTGTTACGGCGGTTCGGCGAAGAGCCCAAGGCCAGCAGCTCACCACGGAGACACTTGACAAGGATGCGGACATCCAAGGACTTCTGAAATCCACCGCGCTGCGGACACAACAAGACGTGCTGGAGCGCGGAGCAGGCTGGACCCTGGTGGTGAATCACTTGCAGAGCACCTCCCCGCAGCTCCAGGCACTGCACCAGCAGATGTTTGCCCTCACCGGGTTGAGCGGGGGAATGAACGCTTACCTGACGCCGCCGGGTGCCATTGGAAAGCCTCCGCATGTCGATGATCACGACGTGCTTGTTTTGCAGGTGGCAGGCGAGAAGAAGTGGATGTTGCTGGATGCCAACCGAGAGCTAAAGGAAGAGGTGGTTCTCCATGCCGGAGATGTGCTCTATCTGCCACAAGGGATCCCGCATCATGCCGCAGCCCTTCAGGGTACGTCGCCGTCGCTCCACCTTGCCCTGGGTCTGCACCGGCTCCCTCTCAGCACAGCCTTCGTCCTCGCGGCTATGTTGACAGTGCAGGCAGGCAAGGCCGCCCAGAGGGCTGAAGCGAGCAGACTGCGGCTCCCCGCTTCCTTTGTGGAGGAGATGGAAAGTCGAGGTCAGGCTTTCGCCGCCTTCGGTACGCGAGAGCATTGGCTTCACCAGCTGCTACCCCAACACCCACGCCTCGTTGAAGCCTTACACCCTGACGACTTGGCGCAAGAAGGAAGTCTGCTTGCTGGCATGACCGCCAACCTTCGTGCTCGTGCGGGGGAGCTCGCGGAGCTGATACGGGGCGCGACGCCCTGCCCAGATCCCAGAAAAGCTCTTCTTCGTGCCGGGGCCGCAGGAAGCGACACCGAGCTTCTCGAGGTCACGCGGCTTCCGAACGAGGAGTTCATGGACCTGGCTCTGGATGCTTTCTGGGCACGACGAGAGCATGTGCTGGACCAGCACTTTGCCCAGCATGGGCCACTTTGGGCCCCTGCTGAGAAGACCACGGTCGATGGTAATGGCACCGACTCACGCAGATGGCGGAAGCGCCCGGGCATCGCGGCTTTGCACCGGCGGGGTGCCGCCCTGCGCGTCAACGGCTTCCGCCTGGCAGGACTCGACGGAGCGGCCCTGGAGGCAGCCTCGCTTTTCTTGAAAGCTACCGGCCCGGGCCTGTCGGTGGAAGATCTGCCGGGGCACCTGCGCAGTGTGGGCTCGGAGGTTCTCCATCGCCTACTTGCCTGTGGGGCTTTGGAACCGGAAGACCGCCGTACATGAGCTCTAGGGAAAAGCTGCTAAGATCGTTTTCCGGATTGTTGAAGGTTTTGAGCGCTTTTTGCGTGTTTCAGGCCCCGGGAATGTGGATGTTGCGTTCAGAGTTCTTTGTTTCGGTGCAGTCTTGCCTTAAAAGGGTCATGGGACTCAGTAACTAGGGTTATAATCAAGGGTAACTATACTTATAACCCCAATTAAGGTACTTATAACCCTACTTACTAAGTCCCATGGTCCTCCATTGTAGAACCCTTATGGATCCCTTTAAGGAGCCCTTCATTATAGACCCCTATAGTACCCTTAAAGGAACATACTAAGTCCCATGGACCTCCAAGTTGGGCCTCGTACTCAGCTTGATGAGGCCTCCTTCCCGCTAGAACAAACGCAGGACAGCTCGGCCAGGCTCCCCTGTAAAGCTGAGCCGTGATACGGTTGATGAATCAAATCCTGCATTATTACCTTCATGGCCTTAGACTTTGGGAATTATGGCACCTAGACCCTCCATCTACCCTCTAATTAGATCCTAAATGCCCCTGATTTGGGACCATATACCATTATTTGAGGGTACAAGGAGGGCCCTGGTAGATTCCTCATATATCCTCATTTTGGGTAAGGCAGGATTTGCATCATCAAGCGTGTGGTAGTTTTGAGTGGAGCGGTGGGTCTTGGGTACTTGTGATCTGCTTCGGACCATGTCCCCAGTCGAGTTACATTCTGGGTTTTATGCGCTGCCCTGCACAAGTCCAGACGTACAAACAAACACAAATACTCACACGCATGCCTGCATAAATACATGATTCTGCCTAGACTCAGCATTTCTCGTCGTCGTGGTCAAGAAGCCAAAACCTGTCGACGTCCTGGCAGCCTACCGAAGAGACCCTTGGCTGCCACCTCACCTTTCCTCTTCCTTGCCTCTGCATGGCAGGCGATCCGGAGTTGATGCTGAGTGAATGCCGGAACAAGCAGCACCTTGGCGTCCAAAACCATCGAAGCTGTAGAGTGGCCCACCGTATAACCTCCCACTCCCCAAGCCTTGAAGCCATACGCACCACACCCGAAGTCTGCCCTCCTCAGAGTCATGCACCTTCTCGTTTGCTCTTGGTCGTTATGACATAGCGTTATCGTTGTCGTTGTCGTCGTTGTTGTTGTCGTCGTCGTTGTTGTTGTGGTTGCTACGATTCCCCTGCTTTGCTTGCTTGAACCCGCTTTCTTGCGTGAAAGCACAGGCTGCGAGTAATAAGGGGATGAATCGTAAGGGGTGGTTGTCAAAATTATGGCCCCTTTGGGGTCCTTAAGAAAAGACGGCACCTAATATTTAGATATATTTAGGGTGCCCAAGAAGAGACCATCATTCTGACAACTACCCATATAAATGCACTGATGTCACCTTTTCGCTTCTGGTGCCCGAAATTATAGGGTTTCAGGAGGTGGCGGAAGCATTGTGATGGTCGCCTAGAAACTACAATAGAACGCGCGCACCGAAGCAAGAATTAAAGAAGGGTGCAGCAATGCAGGATCTGCATCCTGGACCTGCTTTCTCCAGTCGCGTGCCTTGTTTGCGCCAGGGCTGCTTGGAGGATCATGGGACTTAGTATACTAGGCTATACGTACCTTACTTGGGGTTGCAAGTATAGTTACCCTAATTATAACCCTAGTTACTGAGTCCCATGATCCTTGAAGTACCCAAATATGTTTGAGGACGGCTCAAGCGACATCTGTTTGAAAGTCGCAGCGGGCCAGCATGAGACCTAAGTCGCATTCAGTGCCCAGTGATAGATAACCTAGACAGTACACGTTCGCTTGGTCCATTCGGGTGTTCAGTCATGCCAGTCATTCCAGCCGCGCTGCGAGAATACAGCAGCGACCCAGATGATGGGGATGCGACACCGACAACTGCCCGAGACCTGAAGGCATTGGCCGCAGATCCTGCAAGCCGAAGGGTTGCATTTCCCAAGAACAAGGGTGTGGCAAATTTGCCTCTGCTGCCACCAGCGCCACCAGATGCGGACGATCGCAGCAGCAATCGCTCGCAGACGGCTTTGGAGCTGCAAGACGGCAGCCCAGGTAGCAGCAGAATTGCCGATATCCGGCGCCGCACCACGAGCAAAGGGAAAGTTCAAGTCGCTGTGCCGGAGGACATCCCGCGCTTGCAACTGGAGCCCGGCGAGGACCGCGACATTGCCGGCCTTCCAGGGGTGAAAGAATCGCACGTGAGGGAAGCCTTCCAGCAAATGGATTTCGACAAGAATGGATTCGTCGGAGTCAGTGAGCTTCGATATATGCTGACGGTCATTGGAGAGGAACCAACTGACCAGGAGTTGGATGAAATGCTGGCGATGCTCGGGGGTGAAGGAGATGGCCAAGTTGCGTACGAGGACTTCCGAACTTTGTTTGCACCCACGAGCGCGGTGATGGAGGAACTGATGTCGATGGCTCCGCAAGAAGAAGAGGAAGAAGGTGCAGATGGTATAGCACCCATAGAAGATGATGAGCCCGATGAGATTCCCAGGTTGGAAGCACCAGCCCAACAGTTGGGGTTGCTGGTCAAGGGAGCGGCGAGCTTCATGCAGGCCAGGATCAAGAAGGACTGGGTTCTGGAGGGCTCGGGTTAAATGCATAAAGGGAACTCCAGAAAGTTGGAATATGGATTAATGGTAGGATCCCCTATAATTTACCTTAGAGGGGTTACGATAATGATATTCTAACTTTCTGGCTTCTACTGTAGTCCAGGTGTAGAAGAGTACCATCAACAAATAGAATATGATATATGGCCCCTCATAGCGGTCATTTAGGGTTTCATAGCGGTAGAACAAACGTTTATACAGGGTTTCATAGCGGTAGAACAAACGTTTCTACGGCTACTTCAAAGCGAAGTATAGATAAGGGGATTATGCGTGTAGTGATCAGGGATACGCGTTACTATTATGAGGTTATTACACATTAAAAGGATATTATAGAACAAGGAGGTTTTATAGTTATAGTTACCCTACATATTACGCCCATATAACTACCCATGAACCTCCAAGTAAGGAATCCCTGAAAGGAACCCCTTTTAGTGATAGCCCTAAACGTGGGTTACTTACTATACCCATACCCCCCAGGAGGATCCAAAAAGTAGATCCCCTAATTGGGACTCCTCGAAAGTACCCTTAGTAGTATAGGGCCCCAAATTAGGAGATCTACTTTCTAGATTTCTCCTGAAACCCTAAACCCTAAACCCTAAACCCTAAACCCCTAAACCCTAAACCCTAAACCCTAAACCCTAAACCCTAGCTACCATCCCTGAATCCCAGGAGGATGCCGGCAAGAAGAAGGCTGCCCGGGCCAGGCCCAAGGCCAAAGCTCCCCGGCCGAATCGGGCCCTAAGCCCTAAACCCTAAAACCCTAAACCCCTAAAACCCTAAACCCGAAAACCCCTAAACACCATAAGCCCTAAAACCCTAAACTGCCCTAAACCCTCTAATCCCTAAGCCCTAAAATCCTCAATCCTAAATCCTATAAGCCCTAAACCCCACCCCTAAACCCTAAACCGAAAGCCACTTAAAAAAAAACAAAACACCGAAAGCCGAGGCTCCCGGGTCGAATCGGGCAAGGCCGATCCTGGGTCCCCCGAGGCATCTGATGCAGACGGGTCCTGCGGGAATGCAGGGTATGGGCATCTGGGCTCTTGTTAAGGAATGTAGTTTAAGTTACCATAATAGGGATCTACAGGGGCTCTTTCAATGGATCTATAAAAGGGTTTAGAGTTTAGGTCAAGGAGCTTGTTGAGGAACTTAGTTTAAGTTACCATACTGGGGGCCTGTATTAAATAGTATGGTAGGCTGGTCGGGGTTCCTTTCAGGCTTTAAGGGATCCGTAAGGGATCTTGCTAAGGAACTTAGTTTAAGTTACCGTAATAGGGATCTACAGGGGCTCCTTCAATGGATCTATAAGAGGGTTAGGAGTTTAGGCTAGGGAGCTTATTGTAGGGGCCGAATAGGGTTTTGGGGGTTCCTTATCGTAATTGCAGTATAATATATCCCCCAAACCCCTACATTATGTTGATTTACCAAAATGGGGAGTAGATAACATGATTTCCGTATTTATGGTAACTTACATTTAACTCCCTTAGCAACAACTCAGGCATGGGCCACATGGGTCACATGGGCATGGGCATGGCGCCTCCCAGCTCGGGTCCTTTCCGGGGCACCTCTCAGCCTCCCCCGGTTCCTGGGCACATGTCCAGCATGCCGCCACTGCCTCCGGGCTATCTGGTAGGAACCTTAGCAGCTGAGTGGATACACTTTACACTTTTTGGGATAAGATCACCCACTACAAAACTGAAAGACACTTTTTGGGGCTTATGAACTCTGCAACGAAGGAACTCAGAAGACCCACCACCAGCATGGTGTGGGACCTGCAGGGGCCATGGGAGGCATGGGAGGAATGGGTCCCGGCGGAGGGCCCATGGGTCCCGGAGGGCCAGGGATGCCCGGCATGCCAAATCAACCCGGACAATTCCCGCCCGGACATCCGGCGCAACAAGGCCAGGCACCAGGAGCAGTCGACCCGCTCTTGCAGAGCACCGTCAGAAACTTCCAGGCAAATGCTCCACCGAAGCATCTTACCTTCCTTGAGTATCAGGAAATGAAGTTGGAGCACGAAGTGCAAGAGAAGCTGCGCCGGGAAGCAGAATCTGACAGTGACTAGCGTGCCCGACCCGGACGACCTCTTTCTTGCTATTCGTTTCACCTCAACGATGCACTAAGTGCAAAAATGGCCGCAGCACGGCAGACAGCCTGTGGCGATTAGCCTACATGGCTGCATTTAGGGCAGAAGATCACGACTGCCACTTCTTCTCTGTAGTGCGAAGCATCCAAGCAAGAGGTTGTCAGGACCACGTGGAGGGCTCTTGTTCCCCTGAACCCACGACGCAAACCAGCAGCACATAGCAACGCAAACCAGCAGCACATAGCAGCACTATAAATTAACAGCATTAATTTAACCACCGAGGTTTCTTCTTATGCTTGTCTAAACCCCAAACCCTAAGCAGAAAACGTCCTAACGAAGCTCAGGCTCTTGAAGCTTGTGGTAAGGCGCGCGGCCGCCGAGATGCGCCTGGCCGAGCGAAGCGGGTGGGAGGTCCTGTTTCCAAAGCTCACTTGCTGAAGACCTAAAACCTTATGCCATATGCCCCAGGCACTTGTAGTTTAGAACAAGGCATCAGTCTTCCTAAAGCACCTGGCCCTCGAGCCTTAAACCGGAGCTTGGGCGGAGCGGGGCAGTCTTTCGGGGTTTCCATGAAGGTCGCTAGACAACAGTCTTGAGAAACATGTGGCAACAAGATCTGTGCCAAAAAAGGGTCCCGTTGATTAGCAGCATCGAGCTCTATGGGCCCTTTGCGTACTAACCCTCTGTTGACAAAGTTAAGGAACAAGCGAGGGGCAGTTGCTACACCCTGGCTCAGAACCAGGCTAGGGGCATCCGACTGGCTCAGCTCAGTTGCATAGTGACCACTGGCTTTTGTTGGCTTCTCAGTTTGAATGCTCGGTGAGGGTTTGAGTCTGCTCTCAATTTGCCGCAGCATTTTAGATCGATTTGAGCTCGTTTTGCCTCGCCTTTTGCGCGCGCCTTCTCAACGATGGATTTCGACGACCTTGATGATGCGATCGAGCAGAGGCATATTGCGAGAGCTTCTTGCTATTGCTTGACACTTTTGTTGCACATGTGTTCGATGGGACGCAGCATAACCTTGCAAGCACTGTGCCCTTGGATGCCCAAGCTGCTAGAACAACTACACCGTCATCCCGTATCATCCTCCGCCTCCAGCAGTGTGGCAACACTCTTCAGGGTAAAAGGACTTTGGTTAATATGGGAGTTTCCGAAAATAGGGGACCCTAGCATAGTACCCTCAATAGTAGGATCCTTATTATACGGACCCCAAAATAAGGTACCCCTAATTTTCGGAAACTCCCATATAGGGGCCTGAGCAATTACCAACACTACTCCTTTAGGGCTCCTTAGTATGGTTGTTGTATAATGTGCCCCAAAACCCTATTACTATTCTGACGAGTCAGGCCCCTACTTAAAGGCTCATGGGACTTAGTAACAAGGGTCATAATTAGGGTAACTATACTTATAACCCCAATTAAGGTACTTATAACCTTACTTACTAAGTCCCATGATCCTCCAAGTGCATTCGTTTCTAATTGCCGGACCTCCAGGCGCCAAGGTTCCGCAGCTCCCGTTGCCCGCGGGGGGCACACTTCTCATGAACATCACGGTCATGCTTGGAGGATCATGGGACTTAGTAAGTAAGGTTATAAATACCTTAATTGGGATTTATAAGTACAGTTACCCTAGTGATAACCCCAGTTACTAAGTCGCATGATCCTTGAAGTGCACATTCCGGGAAGCTGAAGTCGTTTCAAGACCTACAGATGTAACCTGGTACTTGGGTGTTCTGGTATATCAAACACCGCGTTCTCGGCGTCCTCTCGCGCTGATTTTGCGCTCCGACCACAGTGTGGTCCTTTGCAACTGACTCACGAACAAGACCGGACACAAACTACCCTGCCTGCTTCGGTAGGCCAGCACTACATAGTTTTGAACAGAGCTCATGCAGACCGCAAGCCATGCAGCGGAACACGCACCCCAATTACACCTAGAAGCTCTAAACCTAAACCTCACAATGCGGGCATAGTTCTAGCTGGGCGAGGAAAACCCAAAACCCCTACACGGAAACCCTAAAAACCGGTCCTAAACCTCTTAGCCTTACATCCTCAAACCTCTAAATCCACAAACCCCTAAAACCGAAACCCAATGAGCCCGGAGGCTTGCCGAAGGCGACACTGAGGCTTTGGCCAACCTCAGTGGCATGACGACTGCGAAGAAGGAGACCCTGGCTTCGGGTCGAGGCTTTAGGGTTTAATTAGGGCTTAGGGCCTGACGCTTCGAGTGCCTGTGAGAGAGAGAGAGAGAGAGAGAGAGAGAGAGAGACTGACTGTGAAGTGAAGTGAAGTGAAGAGAGGCTTAGGGCTTTAGGGCTTTAGGGTTTAGAGTTTAGGGGGGTGCGGAGCTTGATTCCGTTGAAAGGCGGCTTGGGTATCGGTGCTGCATGTCGGCCTCGGTCAAGATGATTGTGGGTCGTAGACTGGCTAGACTTGAGTCCAGTGGCAAAAAAGGCGGGTACGGAGCCACCCATGTCTAACCTATGTACTTGGAGGGGGATGTTGCGTCGATGTCGGTGGGTTCGAAGTACATTTCGCGCTGTTCCGATGGGCCCTGTAGGAATCCAGTACATGTGTTTCTGAGGGACATCGCGGCTGAGATAACGTACTTGGGGATCTTCGGTCATGGAACAGCAAAGGGGAGTTCCCAAGTACGTTAATTGTTGGGGATGGTGGTTATTGAGGTTCAGGGTATACTGTAGGGTACAGGGTATATAGCTTTAGTCGAAGTTTCTCTGCAGTGGTTGTGGACACCTAGTAGCTTAGCAGCGGCATCGAGGAAACTCTAGCAGAGCAGAAACTGAGCTATCAAGCGCTGCAGGCCACTGTTTTTGAAATTTGTGTCTCTTTTCCACAAGTTTTGCAAGTAGCTTCCTTAGGCTCTGTCTATTGGCCGTACCTCTGTATAGCACGAGTGTTTGCACAGCATCTTGTCTTCTGGTGTTCCGACAGCCCTGCAAAGTGATTAATCTACGGGCCTTAATTAGAGTAAATAGGGTTTGGGGGCCCATTTATAATTCTATCAAGGGCCCCCCCCTCCAAAAAAACAAAAATAGTATAGGTAATAATTCTTTAAGCCCCTATAGTAATGCAAGGTTTTTAAGGCCCTGAGCTAAACAACAGCCTGCAGCCCCCTCCGATGATGAAAGCTCTGATGCGATCCAGGAAGTGATGTTTTCATAGTTGAGTGGTTGTCAAATTGGGGTCCCTTTTTGGGTCCCTCATGTAACACGGCACCAAATATCTAGGGTGCCCAAAAACGGACCCTAATTTTGACAACCACGCATCTGGGTAGCAATAGTTAGCCACAGTCTGCTCTGATGGCGCCCTAGTGTACTATACCCCAAAACCGTATCCTAAACATTTAGCCCCCTATATAGATTACAGAGTTTGGCTTACTGTTCGAGTTTGCATATCTGCAGCTTGAGGAGACGGGCTTTGGATGGATAATGAATGGATAGTCCGTAGGGTTCCATAAATTGTATACCTGTATACCTATTCTATAGTAGGCGCCCAAGCCCTACTCCAACTATCCCCTACATTGCGCTTCTGGGGCGTTCTCGGTGTGATGACGGGCTTGGGGCGCTTGGGACCGAAGCGCGAATGTAGCTTGATCATAGAGGTGTCGCGATTGTTTATTTGAGGCGGAGGTCTCCGAATCGGTGGGTGCAGTATTGTCGGCGACTGACAGTGTTTTTGGCATTTCGGTTACGACGAGACGGCGCACCCATCTAACTTGCATCAAGACCCTTTACAATACCAAATGAAGGGGCGGCCCACGGGTAATGCTGCAATTCCACAGCTTGCCCTCTCCTGGTCAATACAAGGAGCTGAAGAAGTTCACTGGCGCGTTGAAGGGCATGCCTCACAACAAGGCTGCGGGACGAACGGGCGGGCTCCTCGTCAGTGTACCCTGAGGTGATTTGCGAGATTTATTCCTGTCTCATTATTTTTGCACTTTGTCGCTAGTTCGTAAGGTATCAGGCAATGAAGCGAACTACTGCACGTGGCTGTTTGGGATACTATTTCTGGGATACTATTCATAACTCCGTGTCCTTAAATGCGCAGTGCAGTGGGGTCACCCAGTTTTGTTTGATAGGGGCTATGCAAGAGATTTTCTTTAAAAAGCAAGTCAGGGAAGCCGACGACTGTTGCATCATCGCGTGCATCAAAGCATCTTAACAGAATACGATTCCAAATACGTAACTAGACAAGCCATGGAGCTTGGGAAGCTCACAGGCTCAGATCATGTGCAAGTTCGGTCTAGTCCAGACTGGGTCGAACTCCTTTTTCCACAAGTCCATGCGAGAAACATCGCCGCCAATCAAAGCTCAGATGCTGGCAAAAACACTCAATGTAGTTTGCATGCTACCAGAACTGTGAAGGATACAAACGAAGCTATTTTATACACATGACTTGTCTTACATCATATATAATCGCCAGCGGTTTTTAGCCTGTAAAGTGCTTGAATGAAGCATCAACTGGGTTTGTGATGCAAGTTTTCAGCGTGAAGCTTGAAGATGATTGCCAAGCGATTCATCAATGGGCCCGTCTAGACAGTGGGGTGTGAGGTATGTACACCGTAGACCTGAAACCTTTGCATCTGTGCAAGCTTGTATTCCCTTGTGGCGGCAGGGCTTCCCCAAGATCGATCAGATCTATGCCATCAGTACACAGATCAAGATGCGGGTCGCTTCGGCTTCGGTTTTAGGACAGTTTGGTCAGGTTTGGAGTTGAAGGTTCACTGTTTTGGTAAGCAAGACACACATGTCTTTGGGCACGCATCACGCGATTGCCTTCTGTTCGTCATCGCCTGGCATGTCGGAGCTGCAAGAGGCCAAACCCAAGAAACTCAAATTCTAAACCCTCCGTAGACCCAGTATAAGACCCCTAAACGGGTATAGACCTACTATTCAGGGTACCATATAATCGGAAACTCCCTTAATTCAAGCAAGAGGCCTTCATCTTCTACGGTCCGGGCGACCTCGCCGAAGATCTCCGCTTCGGGCGGCTTGGGCAGAGATCGTGCGATCACGGGGGGCCTTGAAAAAGGGGTCTATAATAAGGGATAAGGGTTTTAATCAGCTTTTTGGGGGTCTATAACAAGGGATTCGGCTTTCGAATAGGTTCTGGTGGGTCTGTGAGGGAATAGAGTTTCAAAAAGGGTTTAGCGGGTGCACAAGGGATTAGGGTTTAGGGTTTACAGGCCTTGAAAAGGGGTCTACTTGGAGGATCATGGGACTTTGTAACTACGGTTATACGTACCCTAATTGGGGTTATAAGTATAGTTACCCTAGGTATAGCCCTAGTTACTAAGTCCCATGATCCTTTAAGTACAAGGATTTAGGCTCACGGAGGAGGGAGGGTTTGAAGTTGAGGGTGTAGGGTTTGGGGATGTGATCATGAATGTCTTCGGGAGAAGGGATTGAGGAACAATAGGGTTTCGGTTTAGGGTTTGGTGTTTAGAGTAGGGTGCACGGTAGGGTTTTTAGGAAATAGGGATTAGGCTTTGAAGTTTTGGTCTTAGGTAGGGTTTAAAGCTTGCAGTAGATTTCTCATGGATGAATGCTCACAAAAAGCTCTACACCACTTGAAAATCTGAAGCTGACCTTTTTCAGCGAAAAGATAGAAGCCAGGTTGCTTGGACTGCCGAAGTGGATGGAAGTTGGCATCTATGAGTGGCCAGGACCTGTTGCGGTTAAATTTGCGTCGGGGAAAAGATGCTTGAGTGATTGGCATGTGGAGGGGGCAACTGCCCGGCGAACACGATTTCCTCGGGGTTTCCTGTACCACCAGCTGAGGGGTGTTCTCGCGCGCATTCAAGCGAGTCTTATGTATTTTCTAGTTTCGCAAGGCTGGGTTCAACAGGAGAGTCCAGTCAGAGGGAGAGCGAGGGAGAGGGTTTGTGTTAGAGCGCGAGCTTAGGGGATCGGGATTGAAAGCTTGCCAGAGACAGGAGGGGCTTTGGGAATTCTATGAGTCAATGAGCTTGGTTTGGGCTTTGGAAAAGTTGGAGAGCTTGCTGTAGACTGTACTGGGCAAGCCTCTATCTGCGCGGAGCTGCAGCACATGTTGTTCAGCAGCTTGAGCTAACAATGACATAAACACTAGGCTCCTGAGTAGTACCCTTTTGTCCTTTTTGCTTGGGTTCCTCTCTTAGAACCGCGTAGGAAAAGGGTACCCTTAGTATGAAGGGCTACTCAGGAACCTAGAGTATAAATGCCACTATGGGAAGGACATGGCACTCGTGACGACGAGCCTTTTGCAGAGAACTTCGAGGCCTTCAGCCTTCAGCTAAAAAGGAGCGTTTACGCCTCGCCAAAGACCAGTATCATTGATAGCAAGGGTAGTCGTGGTCAGTAGTAGTTGTGGTAGTGGTAGCAGCAGTAGCAGTAGTTGTAATTAGTAGCAGCAGCAGCAGCAGCAGGAGTAGTAGTAGTAGTAGTAGTAGTAGTAGTAGTAGTAGTAGTAGTAGTAGTAGTAGTAGTAGTAGTAGTAGTAGTAGGAGTAGTAGTAGTAGTAGTAGTAGTAGTAGTAGTAGTAGTGGTAGTGGTAGTGGTAGTGGTACTGTTGACGTAGTGGTAGTGGTAGTGGTAGTGGTAGTGGTAGTAGTCATCGTCGTCGCAGTAGTAGCAATAGTAGTGGTAGCAGGAGGAGGAGGAGTAGTAGTAGTAGTAGCAGCAGTAGCTGTAGCAGGAGTAGCAGTAGTAGTCGTCGTCGTAGTAGTAGTCAGTTGACCCCGCAACAATAACACCGCTATCGCAGTCGTCTTTCGCAGGCTTTGGCGAAGGATGCCTTGGAACACCTCACGCCGATGCTAGACCAGGCACGACGCGGTGTGAAGACAGGGACGTTGCCCGAGAGACAAATTCACACAGCGTTTCTGCGAAAGCCCATGCTTGGTTTTAACACAAGCCCAATCGCTGCATAGTATGGTTGAGCATTCAGGAACGAGGGGACGATAGGAGCAGCTGGTTAGACGGCATTTCGACCGATTTCAATTGGTTTGCTATCGCCAGCAGTTGTTAACAGGGCAGGAATATAGTTTGTATCGGAGCATGTTCTCACATGCAGAGTTTTAGATGTGTTCGCTGTCTTCCGGTAACACTGCGGCATGTTTCCGTGTGGATGAGTTACGTCTGCACGATTCCCAGGTCATCTCACCGAAGCCCCATGTCATCAGGTGAAGGAGGGAGGCGAGTTCGAGGGTGCACCCTTCGCTTTCATCGGCAAGTCGGCCCCCAGCCATGCAATGAGGTTGCAGGGGTTCAGGCACCGAGACTAGGAATGTCCCTTCGACTATTAAGAGTATTGAGCAGCACTGTTGCGCTCTCGTATCGGAGGGACCAGAAGACGACAAAATGAGTGTGCTGCTGATAGCTGATATTCACAAGGCCTTCTCGTTCCCTTGATGGGGTTTCAGAAGTTGCGCTATCCTGTGGTATCCGCATCGTTGCTTCTGCCTTCGAAGGGCAGCCTGAACCCTGCATCCTTTTCTCAGCATGAGGCCTTGAGGCTGCAGGAACTTGGAGTTTCAGAGGCTTGCAGGTGCCCCGCAAGTCTCCTCCGTCAGAACGACTACAGTGATTATGAGAGCGCTATACATAGAATTCTATAATTATGCAATGCAAATATATATATATATATATATATATAGATAGATTTTAGTAAAATCCCTAAACTCCAAAACCCTTAGTCCCCAACGTGCTCCGTTTTCAAGTCATCGTGAGGTGTCTGCTGATGGTTCGAAAGGGATCTCTCTAGTTTGGGGTCGTCAAGTGATTCGAAACTGATCCTTTTTATGCGCTCTGGTTTGGCACTGCGAAGCGCCTTTGTTGAGAAGCTATGGAGTTAGAGAACAGCTTGCACCTTAGTCTTGACATGAACTTTCAGCTGTGCTATCTGACTGAACCGTGCAATGCAAAAGAAGCCTTAAACCCCTCAACCCTACCCAGAATCCCGGGAAGCTTCCAGAAAGAACAACCCATAAATTTGGAACCCTCTACTACTCAAGGGTACCCTGCAGGAGCCCTTTTTCAGGGATCTGCTTGGGGCCCGAATCCCAGAAAGTTGGAATGTGCAGTTAGGAGGATGAATGCTGGGGATCCCCTACACTTTACGCCTTAAGGGCGTGAGGATCATGAGGTTCCAACTTTCTGGCTTCTACTCTATAGTAAGAGCGATGAGGATCAGAAGACTGAGGTGGGCTGTCAACTGTTGACTTGGCTCTCCAAGACCATCCTCGTGAAGCCACCTGCTTGGCTTTTGGGTTTAGCCTGCAGCAAAAAGGGGGGAGGCGGGCCTCCCCGGCCGACTTCCCAAGCCCGGATGCAAAGGGGCGGGCCTATACAAGTCTGTGCAAGAGGGCTTTAGGGTTTAGGCAGGGTTCCTATCGGCTCCCCTTTAGTAGTATAGGGTCCCAAACTAGGGGTTATGCTTTCTAGGGTTGGGCGAGATTTTCAGTGGGGCTTCGGGTTTAGGGTTTAGAGCTCTGAGATCCAGGCGGGCATGCGCAGAAGGGTTTAGAGAGAGGGTTGAGGGTTTCAGGCTCGGGGCTTCGAAGCCTGGCATTTAGGGGTTGCAGGCCGCGCAATGGCGACATCCGGGCCTGTGTGGGGGTGTTTCGGCTGTTGCTTTGGGGAGGTGATGAAGGACACTATGGCCAGTTGTGGGATCAGTAGGTTTCAAGCTAGAAAAGCACACCTCTGTCAAAGACAAGAACTCGGCTGCTAAGCTGCAACTGAGCCGGTGAGTGCTCACCTTTGTATAGGCATGTTGAGAGTAGGTAGTTATGAACCCGCCTGCCACGTTCAAGCTTGAAGCAGAGGTATGGGATCGGCCCTTCTGCCGTTGTCGTCATTGACCGTGCGCCGCCTCACATCCCTCTGCTACCGGGCTGGAAGCTTGTGATCCGTTGCGGGTTTAGGGTGTAGGGATGAGGGTTTCTCCACAGTGTAAAAGGGTTTGGGGTTTTCGGGCCGAGCTTATTCGGAGGAGTGAAGGATGCCGCCCCAGGATCCGAACCCCCCCCCACCCCCCATGAATGGGATCCTTTCATCTCAGGCCGACTGAGGCCAACAGGTCCATTCCCTGCATTGCTTTAGCACTGGGGTTTCGCACGCATGTTCATCTGCAGGAAAGATTTTCTACCTCACCGAAGTTTGAATGCCTGTACTCGACATTGACAATGAGACGAACAAAAGCAGAACATCAGAAATTCCGAAGCCCTACAGCCCGAAAGCAGTACTTGTGCGAGCTTGTCACGCTTGGCCGCCGACAACGGGTCTGATAAGGGAGCAAGGATATTGTGGGGGTGATTATGAGGGTTACTATCCCTAAAGCCTAAACTCCCGCCCGGGCCAAGTCTGAAAACTGCGTCTTGAAGGAGATGAGGAGCAGAGGGGCGTGATATGCAGCGTAGCTTCCGTTAAGGACAGGTTGAGGGGATAGTAAACCTCGTCTGACTTGTCGAGCACGAGTGACAAAAAAAAACCCAGAACAACCCTGTAATACCCCTAAGGTGAGCCTTATCTTAGCCTTATCTATAGTACCCCTTGAAGTCACCCTTACATGCTCATAACGGGCTCTTCTGCAAAGCGTTCTGATCTGGACCGGCTGCGTCTCGTGAGTGCAGACGGCCCCTCAAACTGACTGTCTTACTGGCTCTGAACTCAACTTTTCAACTTTTGGGGGTTCTTATAAGGTAGTCGATTCTGAAAGCTTCAACTTGTAATTATTTCCTTGGGCTTTCGGCCACTGTGCTGTAAAACAGAACTGTGAAAACATGACAAAGCCACCCACAGCGGGAGCTCCATGAGTTCTTAGCCAGGTTCCTGCGAAAAGTCCATAAACCCGTGCCGAAACCCCATGATCCCGTAGGTGTAATCCCTAAGCCCCAAACCTGTACCGAGAGCCGACTGCCGGCAGACGTAAAAGTCAACTCAACTTAAAACAAACCTGTACCGAGAGACCTCGTCTGGCTCGACAGCGTGAACCTTACACCCTTGCCGAGGCCCTATGAAACCGTGAAGCCGTAATTTAGAGGCCTTAATAACCGAAACTATTTTGGGCGGTTCCTTATTATGATTATAGTATAATTATTTCCAAAACCATATTCTATTTAAAAAGGCCCCTACATTATGGGCGAGCACGGCCTTAGCCCAGGCTGAGCGATCAAGGTCAGTCGGAGCTCAAGTCGAACCCAGACAAGGCGGTCCAATCCCTTAAACCCTAGGCCCAAAAACTTCCTTGGCGTTGAGGGGTTGAATGGTAGTGACGAATCGACATATGCTGGGAGCGGAGGTTTTACGAGCTTTTCCTGCTGGAATATGTCAGCCCGGATGCAAAAAGGGGTTCCGGGTAGTTGAGTAGGTACCCTTTAACCTTTGTTGGGGTAGTATTATTCCATCCAACAGGTTAGCCATTACTGGTAGGTCCCCAAGGATACGCCCTGACCTTACTAAACCCTGAAACCCCAAACCCCTAAATCCCTAAGCCTTGAAGCCCTGAGCCCTAAATCCCGAAGCACCTAAACCCGAAAACCATACGCCCCTACAACCCCTAACCCCTAAAACCCCTAAATCCCTGAAGGTGGTCAAGGCTTTCAACTACGCAAATTTCGAGGAGGCGGCAGCGGATCGGGAGTAATTTAGCGGCCTAAATAGTTACCAACATTATTTTGATAGGCTCCGTATTATCATTATAGTACACTGGGCTCCAAAACCCTAGTCTAATTATTAAGTCCCCGACTTAGGGTACCTGGAGGAGTACATGGGACAAGAGATATAGCTACGGCCAGTAGCTAAATATTGTTTTGGAAAAGAGACAAACTAGCGGGCGAGAGAAGCCTGCTGCAAAAAGGACAAAAGAGCAAGGGCTGCGAATATGGTAACTGTACTTGTAACTAGTCATAATCTCGGTTACGGTACCTATGACTGTATTTGCTAAGTCTCACGAACCCTTAAGAGCTACAAGGGCTATTACCAGGGCCATTGTGCTCGTACTATACGGATCATGAAAAGGTCGTGGTAAGGCTATTCTATATGTAAGAGATTATCCGGGTGGTATTATAGGGGCCATTGCAAGGGATACATCCGGCTGCGATAGATGAGGGTGTTGTAAGGGATGCTAAAGGGTGCCTTAGATTCGTGGATGTAATTTGACATTGAGTTTCTGCTACATCTACTATGAGGGTCTGTAAGGTCTTCATAAGGCTTATTGTCAGTGCGAGTGACAAAAAGGGTATTGTAAGGTGGTAAGAGATATTTTGGGGTTCAGGGCTTTGAATATCGTTCGCCGGAGTGTACGTTGTAAAGATGAGGATGACACACATGCAGTGCTTGAGGACTGATGGTATAGAGTGTTGGGGACAGGAAAGGGGTTGGTCAAGCCGGGTCGTGCATTCTCAGCTTCGCCACGACTTGCTTGTGCGTTTGGTGGACCCGCAGGTGGACAAGAAAATGTGGGCAAAAGATCTCACCTATGCCAACGAGACTCTGGATGCCTTCTATCACAAGTTTGACTGCCCAGTCATGGTTTTGAAAGGGCAGCAGCTCGGCTTTGAGATAAAAATGGCAGTTTCCGAAAATTAGGGGTACCTTACTTTGGGGTGTTCATAAGAAGGATCCTACTGTTTAGGGTGCTCTACTAGGGTCCCCTATTTTCGGAAACTTGCAGCCCTAAACTTCCCCTGGGCTTGAGGAGCCTCGAACTCTCAACCCTGAAGCCTATTGGCTGCAAACTCAACTTTTCAACTTTTGGGGTTCTTATAAGGTAGTCGATTCTGAAAGTTTCAACTTGTATTTCCTTGGGCTTTCGGCCAGTGAGGAAGCAAGCACAGCAAAGTAAAATTTCACAAAAAAACAGGAATCTAAACCCCCATCCAAAAACCCTAAACGCAAACCCTCACCCACATTTCCTACGGGCTAGAAGACGTTGGAGATTGAGTTTGCTTGGCGACAACACGACGCGATCAAAGTCTCGACAGCAAGATGATCACCTTTTTGGGTCCAACTTCTGCTTAGTTCCGTGATTGCTTTGTCCGCCCTTGGTGGCGTAGAGATGATCACCGACACCTAGTAGCTGTTCAGTCAAAGTAGTAGGGGACCGAGAAACCTCGTCTGGCGGAGTGCGACTTGCGAGAGCGTATACTTGCAGGATCATCGGACGTAGTGAGTAAGGTTATAAGATATACGTACTTTAATGGGGGTTATAAGTATAGCTACCCTAATTGTAACCCAGTTACTAAGTCCGATGATCCTTTAAGTAGACCCTAAAACCCCTCTTACAACAGAACCCCCTCCTAGATCCCTTTAAAGGAGCCCTTTAAGCAACCCTAGTTACTAAGTCCCATGATCCTTTAAGTAAACCCTCAGCTCTTAGCTGGTGGGAGCCTGAGAAGACAAGGTTCGACCAAGCCAGCGACTCCTTCGGCACCTCGGCATGAACGCTTTTGTGCTTTTTACGGGATCCTTCAAGGGGCTTTAGGGGCTCCTTTAAAGAATCTTTTTAGTCGAAGAGTCAAGCAACTTGGGCTAAGTTTCCACAAGAAGAATGTGACGTACCTAGAATAGAGCACGGTGGTGCAAGGACCAAGGCCGAGTGCTTGCAGTATCGATCGTTGAAGCCAGAGAGCCAAATACCCCTTAATTATGGAATATAGCCTCATAATATGAAGCCCCTTATAATTTAAGGTAAATTCCTTAATTAAGGGGTATTGGGCTCTCTGGGAAGCTAGGGTTTAAGGCTTGTGGGGCTTTACGGTGTAGGGTTCTGTAAGGTCTAGTAGTCGTTCAGGGGTTGGGGTTTGTGATGTTCAGGGTCTTGGACTCGGGACTCGGTTTAGGCCAGTTTAGGCTTGAGGACTTACCCTTGTGAGCGTCCCTCTTCCAACTTTGAGGGGAATCAGAAGGCCTTGTCGATAACAGCCGAAACTCCGAAACCCCTGAACCCTAAGCCTGATGTGATATGGTATCTGCTCTGCCTGCTGTCGTGGAGATACTGTGAACTATGAGGAGCCTTGCCTGCCTTGTGCGAGCGCGAGCGTCGAAACCCAAAACCCGAAACCTTAAACCCGAAACCCTAAACCCGAAACCCTAAACCCGAAGCCCTAAACCGAGGAAAGAAGAAGAGCAAGTTCAAGGCCGTGACTGTGAAGATCAAGGGGTCGGACGAGACGATCGACCTCCCGGCCGAGTCTGATGCTTTCGCAAGATATTTAGGTTTAGGGTTTAGGAGAACCGTGGGCTCATGGGAGTTTTCCAAAATTCGGGGTTCCTTATTTGGGGTCCTTATAATAAGCATCCTACTATTCATGGTGCGTTATCAGGGGTCTTAATATGTAGGACGGGGTGTTTGGGTTACTATAGTATATTGTCCGGCACTAGGCGTTTTTCCTTTGAGTCTTGCTGCGACCCAAAATAGTAGGATGCCGACTAATTACAAAAGTCCCGACGTAAGAGACCCCAAATGCCCACCATGCTCTCAGAGTCTCGACAATGGGTCCCGATCCACGCCGGAGGCCCTGTATCCATGTCAAGCTACTTCGGATGATGAAGCCACTGTGTGCATCGTGTTAAACTGTGGTGATTTGCACGACCACAGCCGATTCATTCCACCTTCGGACTCATGAGGCCGAAATGCCATAACAGCCTTTAGCATCCCTGTACTAGCCGTACCAAACCTTCCCGAAACCCCAGATGCCTCGCTCAGGAGACCACTGTCAAGGAGATGCTGACAGTTCTTGACAAGATGTTCAGCTACAAGCCGCTCCCGCTGTCTTAAAACAGGGTATCAGGTTTCGACAGATGAGGATTGCTCCTACTGCTGCTGCTGCTGCTGCTGCTGCTCCTACTACTACTACTACTACTACTACTACTACTACTACTACTACTACTACTACTACTACTACTACTACTACTACTACTACTACTACTACTACTGGCAAAACTACTGCTACTAATAATGTTACTGCAAGGTTACCAGACGGTTTCTTCGCTCAGGGTTGTAGAGGCTCAGCTTGCGCGTCGGCAGGATGCCCATGTCAAGCAGTACAGCGTCCGCCATTCCCTGAACCCCTTGCAAGCTGAGAGACCTGAAGCCATGCCAGCCGAGCGCGAGTGTGTGAGTCGAAACCCCTTGACCCTTAAACCCTAAACCCCGAACGCCCTCACATGATGCTATACCTTCGTTTGGGTGGTTGTCAAAATTATGGTCCTTTTTTGGTCCTTTTATATAATACAGCACCCAATATCTAGGGTTTCAAAAAGGGACCCTAATTTTGACGACTACCCGTTTGGCCTTACTGTTAACAGGGACTAGTGCAGATACCTTTGGACTATGTGGAGCCTTACCTGCTGTGTGCGAGTGTGGGCGTCGAAACCCACAGACCCTAATTTCAAGCAGCCAGGAAAATCACCATCTTAGGCCTGAGCCCCAAACCCCCAAGCACTTAACCTCGAAACCCAACAACCAACGTTTCGAGACAGGAATCGGGGCAGTCTCACCTAAGCCATAGAGCCGGACCCGAACTCCTAAACCCAACTTGGCCTGAGCTTTTTTTGGCCAGGAGGGGGAGCAATCTCAAGTGCCTCTCACCTGATGGCCGTGAGCTTGCCATGGACAGCCAAGTCCCTGCCGCCCGGCTTCGGGATTCTTTTTTGGACCTACAAGGCTCCCTTCAAGGGCTTTATAAGGGTGCTGTAAGGGTCCCTTATTAGTAAGGGGTTGCTGAGGAATCCAGGAGAGAGTGGGGCAGAGGGTTCGAGGTGTTGGGATTTGAGGTTTGGTGGATCTTCGGTTTAGGCTGGTGAGGTTGGTTGTTTAGGATTTAGGGTTCAGAGTTTGAGCGCTCATCGGGGTGTTGCTGTGTAGCTGTTTGGGACGAGATTTCTATTCTGGAAGCCTGGTCGGAGATGATGGAAATAAAGAAAAGCTTCGGGCTTAGGGATCTTATGTCAAAGAGCTCTTGAGCCCTACGCCAAGACGGCCCGGTGCAAGCATACCTTAGTTGAAGGCCATCACCAGAACAACCTTGTCCGAGCCCGAAATCTCGTCGGCCGGGTACCGGCAGATGCCGATGCTCCGTGATTGAAACCCTAGCCCCTAAACCCGAAACCAGACACCACATGCCTCGCATCGCTCTTTTCGAGGCCATAGACTCCTGCGGCCATTGTTCGCGTTTGTGTTGCTAGTCTGCTAGCCTCTTCCACCATTCTCATCATGTCATTTCTGTGGAAGCATGAGGTTTTAGACCCCAAAACCTTCACAAATATCCTAAGCGGCAGCACCCGACAACGTGCCATCCGGCCGCCATCTCGTTCGTGACTTAACATCCTGGTCCTGGTTATTCCTGTCCCCTGCTGTTCTAGAGTCGTCTTCTATGCATTAAGTCATTAAGACTTGCCGCAAACTTGGAGGATCATGGGACTTAGTAAGTAAGGTTATAAGTACAATAATTGGGGTTATAAGTATAGTTACCCTAATTATAACCCTAGTCACTAAATCCCATGACCCTTTAAGAACCCTCACGTCTCTTTCCCTGAATCACTTCTTCGAGGCCGTAATCGTGGTCGACGGCCTCAAGGACTCCAGGGTGCGTGGTGCAAGCCCTCTTTCAGAGGAATGTTGCCAGCAAAACCGTAACCGCTAGACCCTGAAACCTTACGGACGGAACTCGTATATGCATGGAAATAGGTTTTAGGTATAGGGGTGGTATATTTTCTGTACATGCATATACTTGGACGATCTTGGACGTGTACGTGTACATATACATACACAGGTGTACATATATGTATATATGTATGTATGTATACATATACTTATTTATATGTGCGTGTATATACATATGTTTACATACATGTGTATATATATATATATATATATATACATCTGTTTAAAGCTTTGTGCGTAGACAGTCTCTGTGAGATCCGTATCAAAACACCCCGGAGGACTTCCAGCATGCACGCCATTCCTGGGAGCACCCCATCGGTATTATCGGCGGCGGCTTCTATGGCGTGAAGTTGGGCATGGTGGCTCGGTTCATTGCAGTTTCGTAGGGGTATCACCACCGCTACCTGCGGTTTTAAGGATTCTTAAGCTAGCCTCAATCCTAGATTCCGTTTCACTGTTCGCAGTATCGAGTTGCAGGGTTGAGCAGGTTCTCAGCCGAAACCCGTAGCCCTACTGGGAGGATCATGGGACTTAGTAAGTAAGGTTATTAGTGCCCTAAATTTGGGTTATAAGTATACTTACCCTAATTATATCCATAGTTACTAAGTCCCATGATCATGTAAGTAACGCCGGATTTCCTCAGTCGAGGACGATCTAGCATTTGCTTCGCCCAACCCACGGACCTACGGGATTCGAAACTGCAGCCAAGCTGGTGCAACCGAACTGTTCTGTGTAATGACACCGGGTTCATCAACCGAACTTCCACTAAAATCCCCTGAACTGTGCACCCAATTTGAAATCCTTACTGTAGGGGCCTGAATAGTAATTACCAATACCGTACTATTTTCGGTGTTACTTGTTATAATTTTGGTTTAAGTGACACCAAAACTAAAGCCGTATTCAGATTTCATGAATCAGGGTCTACGCTCGTGTTTTCAGACATTGATTTTGGAAAAACGGCCGAACAGAACTCGGAACCGCCAAAAGGGTACGTAAAATACAGAGCTGTTACAGTATGAGTTGTAATAGCACCACCTTATAGCCCTTAGTTCAGTCTCCGAGTATGCTACATGTATATTATACCACACGATGCTCCAATGCCCGATTCTGATCATGAAGGCCCCTGTATTATTTCATGCGGCACCTGGGAAGTTTGAACAGGGCTTGCACTGATGCAGTTGGCCTCTTTGGGCATATGTGGAGCTTGAAAATTGGGGATCCCATATTCAGGGCCAGGGTCTTTGGAACGAATCGTAGTTAGGATCTAGGAGGCTATGTTGGGGCCTTCTCGCATTCCTTTTCTTCCTGAGGCCCCATATAGCAGTCATGCCCACGCTATTCCTGCGAACTCGTCAGGAATACATGCTGCACAGGAACGAGAACATCATTCTGTTCGATCGCCATGCCCAGCCACTTGTTTTCAACTTCCGTCTCTGCGGAAACTAATGTGCCGAAGCTGCCATCGAGCTTGTAACGTAGATGTCTCCGATTACTTGTTAAGACTATCGTCTTGTAGTCCCTATTCACTAGTATACCGTATACCTCAATGTACTGTGGCCCTAAAGCCCTTTTCTAGTCGTCAAGGTTTGTCTTTCGTAGCCTCAAATCCAAATGCATATGCATGTATAGCTGGCTGCGTGCGTATGTACATGTTTATTCATTTACTTAATCCCTTCATCCGTTTAATCCCCCCCAAATATGAAGAGTTATTTGGGGCCTTTAATTTCTAATATTCAGGGGATTTCGGGTGGTTTTAGGCTTGATTCTCCGAAATTCGAGTCTAGAATTTTGAATCCCAGGCAAGGGTGCACGTCTAACGAAAAGCATGGGATCGGGAACGGGAGGAACTCCCAGGCTAAGGCGCGGCAGGGCCAGTAGTCTCGAATCCGCAACTCCCAGGCTAGGCAGCGGGGTGCGGGATTGGGGGAACATAGCTCCTTCAGTGTCCCGGGATTGGGTGCAGATTTGCATCCGCAGGCTGAGAGGAGTACTTTGCTGTCTCGAATCCCCCTAGCCTGGGAGTTCCTCCCGTTGCGGATCCCACCTAATCCAACATGCTGTCAAATCTGTTCATTTTTGAACTTCTTGCCCAGGACTGAGAATGTTTTCGGCCGGGAAATTCTTCATATTTGGGAATTTTTTTAAACGGATGAAGGGATTATATACGTATGGATGGATGGAAGGAAGTAGATAAGTTGGAGATGTGCATCTCATCCAGCAGCTTGTTTTCAATACGCATGCGTGTAAATACATGAATATATATATATATATATATATATATATATATATATATATACACATACATATGCATATATGCATGTATGTATGTATGCATGTATGTATGTATGTTTGTATGTATGTCTGTATGTATGTATGCATGCATGCATGTATGTATGTATGTATGTATGTGTGTGTATGTGTGTATGTATCTATGTATGTATGTATGTATGTATGTATTTATGACTGTATGTGTGCATCTGTGTATGTATGTGTTTATACTGCGCATGTCCCTTGATTAACCCGAATCCGCCGAAGCAAGGGCCGGCGGTGATGCATGGCACTGCTCAGCAACGAAGTATTCGCGATGTCAGACGGCGCCTCGGCTGAAACCGAAGTTTCAAGGTTTAGGGTTTAGGGGTTTAGGGTTTAGGGTTTTATGGATGAGGGTTTGTAGGGTTTGGAGCTGGAAAATGAGCCCGTCGGGGGTTTAGTGGCTTCACGCCTTAGTGCATTGCAGCCCCCTGCTCGTGCAGGGCACTCCACAATTCAGATCATGTTTGTAGAGTCCATACGACAATTTTATACTCCTCTGTGGGATTTGCACCTTGGCATGGTTCGGTGCCGAGCTTCGATGTTGCATCGACTGGTGGCAGGGCCCTGAATCTGCCTTGAACTTCTTAAGCCAAAGCTGGGTCTGACCGCAACAGGTCCAGACCAGTTCTGCGAGCACCCCACACTAAATCTTGAACGAGTGCGATTTTGGCTCCAGCATTCTTCCACCCCAACATGCTGCACTGAGAAGCTAGCACCGGATCTCACAGCACTCTGCGCACTCTGTTTTGGCCGCGGTTCTCGTAAGTTTCTCAAGAAGCCAAAATATAGGGGCCCTATGAATTAGACTAGGGTATACAGTATAGGTACTTACTTAAGCCCCTATATTATGCTGTTTGGGGCGTAAGTGCTCCGGGTCAAGGGAGCCTCCTGTGAAGATGCAGCGCCGCGGCGGCCCAGATGAGGAGCTGCCATGGCTTCGCTCACGACGCCGAGCCTTGGCTCAGAGAGACCCTCAGGGGGGGGTAGGGGGGGGAGGGGGGTAGGGGACTATACTTCCTTAAGTCCTGGCAAAAGAAATTAAGGCCCCCTACGCCCCCTAAGGGTCCTTATGATTGGCAGTTTCCTTTAAGGGGTATGATAGGGTTCTTTAATAGAGTCCCCTTTAAGGGGTACTATAGGGCTCTACAATAGGACCCCCTGTACCAAGTAGGGTTATAAGTGGCGGCAACTATAGCTATATTCATGTGCAACTCCAAGTAATGTACTTGTATAACCCCATTTACTAAGCCCCCTGATCCTCCAGGCACAGGCTTTAAACCCAGTAAGAGAGCCGCTTTCGATGAAATCCCAGAAGTTCACGCATTTTCTATATGTAAGTAAGGTTAAACCTGAGCAGTTAGTACACCCTATTTTAGTTATCAAGGCCCCTATAGTAAGGTGTGCTGCGATTGGCCCTCGCTGCCATCCTCCTTGGCAGCGCGCGCGTCACAGAAGTGCGAGGCTTTGCTTCGGGGCAGATAGCGGAGGTGGGTAGTTGTCAAAATTAGGGTCCCTTTTTTTTTGTCCTTATTGTAAAAAAGGCACCTAATATTTAGGGTACCCAAAAAGGGACCCTAATTTTGAGAACTACCCAGGTGTGCAGGCGTGGAGTGCGGATGCAAGCTCCTGCGGCACCCAACGATCGGGTCATACTGGCAGAGAAGGAATCCGGTGACTCATCCCAGGGCTCCATTCAGCCGCTTTCGTGGCTGCGGAAGCCTAAGCCACCAACACTGCCAGCAAATCTCTTCAAGCCAAAGGAGAGCTTGTCACAGACCTTCCTTGCAGATCCGAACTACATCTTCAAGATGCTGGGTTCTCTTTAAAGGATGTACGTTAAGTTACCCTAAGAAGGAACCATATATTTTACTATATAGATCCCTATGATGGTAACTTAAACTAAATCCCTTAACCCGAACCCTAAGCCCCCTGTATAGATCCCTTAAAGGAACCCCTACAGATCCCTATGAGGGTAACTTAAGATGTGAATCCCTTCTAAGACGAGCCGAGGATGGTTTCGGAGCTTGATGACGAGTCAGAGGCCGGCTACTAGGGAATGGGAGAATGGTTGTAAGAGTAGTCAAAAAGCTATAGGATTGTTAAGGCCCCTATACTATGTATAGTACCCTTATAGATCCCTTATAGTAACCCTTATAGACCCCTTCATAAGGCCCCTTCCAATCCGTAGTAACCCAAGGCCGGCAAAAGGGTCGTCGAGCTCGGCCCCGGAACTGGGGCCGTCACTTCGAGGCTCTGGCAGCGGTATCCAGAAACTGGGCTCCAGCCTTGTCCTTTTTTCATGGTTCCCCCAAAAGAATAAACAGACCGGCTAGTAGACCTTCTTAAATAATTCCTACTAAGGGATATAGGTATCTATTATTTCTAGAAGGACAAGGGTGCACTGGGCTCTTCTTAAGGAGCTTAAGTTGGCCATGCTAGGGATCCTTTAGGGGTTCCTGTAAGGGATCTATAAGGGGTCCTTGAAGGTTGAGGGTTTAAGGTTTATGGTATCACAATAGTATAGGTAATTTTTTGGTACCTACTGTACATAATATGGTTGCTTTAGTATGGTGTAAATTAAATCCCCCAAAAAAGAACCCAGGAAATGGTGGGCATAGAGCTGGACCAGCGTGCCATGCGTGTCCTGGCCCACAAAGTTCCCGGAGTCACCGTGGTGCGCTCGGACGTGCTCTTGGTAAATTACACCAGGCTGGCAGAGCTCCGAGGTGGACCGCTCTCCATCGTCAGCAACCTTCCCTTTCATGTGGCTTCGCAACTGCTCTTCACGTTGGCTGACCACGCAGACGGAGTACGCAATGCACACGTCATCCTGCAGCAAGAGGTTGCGCAGCGCATCGTCGCAAAGCCCAACACCAAGAAGTATGGCATTCCAAGTGTGGTGTTCCAGCTCTATGCGGACCCGAAGATCTTGTTCCACTTGCCACCGACAGCATATTTTCCTCGTCCCAACGTCATGACCTCGTACCTGAAGCTGGACTTTGAGGCCGCAGCAGAGCGCCGGAAGGCTCTCAATGTGGACCCTCGCGATCTACGCAACTTCACAAATACCGTGTTCAACTACAGGCGCAAGATGATGTCGAACTCCTTGAAGCGAATTCTCTCTTGCCATACCACCTTGATCAACAAGCTGCCTGAAGAGTATGCCAAGCTCCGCCCAGAGCAGATTGAGCCATGGGAGTTTGTGCACCTCACGCAGCTGATCTTCGGGAAGAAGGAGTTCCCACAACATTTCCGACGGGCTTGGCGCGGGGAGTTTGGGCGGACGGTTCGTGAATGACATAGAGAGGATTGAGACATATACGGAGCGCGAAAAAGGCACGGCCAGCTAGTCACTGCTCATATCTGCAGCAGAAGCCTTGCAAAAGCCAGAGAAGCTTGATCGAGATCTCGCCCAGGATTTTGGAGCCTTCAACCCGTGGTGGGGTCACCAGCAGCCTGTCCATGTTTAAGGGTGTTTCAGTAAGAATGTCCCCTCATTGTAGTTCTTACATTGCTGTACAGTAGAAGCCCAAAAGTTGGAAACCCAATAGCCTCAATCCTAAGAGTAATTTATAGGGAATCCCAGCACTATTTGGCCTTAATCCGGTTTCCAACTTTATGGGGTTGACTGTAGTATGTTATACTTCAAATACCTGTCAAGGCCTCAGACCACAGCCGGGTGTTGTCCTGCTCTGCAGTTCCTGCGACTGAAGAGAGTTCATGGGGAATCCCTGATTGGGTTTAGGGTCTAGTTGCCCTTCCTTTAGGGTTTAGGGTTTTAGCGTTTAGGGTTTAGGGTCTAGTTGCCCTTCCTCACTCCAATCAAGATGCTCTGAGGCACCTGGTTGCTGCAAAGGAAAGGAGGAGGTAGAAGCCTCAATACTTGCTAATGCCATTGGCAGGGTTCGTATTACAACGCAGAGTTAGCTTTATCAGAAACTTAAACCCACCTCAGAAACCTTATTATAATGGCTCAGGCGATTTAAACACACCTTAAAACCGAAACCTGATGGTTCAGGTCCCGAAGCGCCTCGTCCGCTGGTCTTTTGAGGTACAACTACAGCGGGGACAAGGGCTACGGATCCAACCCGAAATCCGGAGGCACTCCTGGGTTGCGTAGTGGAGGTTTAGTAGGATTTCGGATGATGTAGGGGTTGTATGTTGTCTAGGATGCCCAGTAGTACCCTTATTCCCTTTTTGTAGTCCTAGGCTCCTTATAAAGTTACCCAATACCAAAAAGAGAGGCCTTTTTATTCTTAGGTTACTGGGTATCCTAGATTGTAGTAAGCGTATGAAGGAACCCTTAAGGAAGACTGAGGGCCCTTTTTGCTTAGATGCCGCGAGGCTCTGAGCGGTAGCTACTCTGGTGCTCGCAGATCGTCGTGGGGACGGTATAGTCTATGGAACCTGGTGCCCCTGATCATGAACCGTGGGAGCCGAACAAAGTGTTTGTGCGTGCGAACTAGGCCCCTCCACGGCCCTAAGCCCCAAACAGAGCACCCGGTTTCCGGAGTTGTCGTGCATCTTAGCCTTTGCAACCCTGGAGACACCTAGAGACCACTGTAATGTGTTCAGATGTTCCCCCTTACTATTGTAACTGCTAGACCCACTCCATAAAAGCAATTCTGCTGAGTCTGAGCCTTATTACTACAAGCCCTGGATTCCTGACCTTCAATTAAAAGCCCCCGACTCCCTCCCAGGCCGGGCGAAGTTCAGCGCCTCCTTCGATGGCCCGGGTGCTCCCAAGGGCGGCTCGGGTGCGGGCACCGGGGTCGACTACCACCCGGTCAGGCGCGCGCGCGCGCGCGCGAAGGAGGGATCCAGTTTTCGGGGGCGAGTTTTGGGATGTTTGGGGCCCACTAGGAGTCTTAGGGCGCTTTATAGGGGTGGATTGTGCGTCTGGGGCAGGGGGTAACCGACTTACACACTGGGATATATGATACTACGGTTGATAATATAAATCCTGCGCCTTCAGGACCCTAAACTATGGGAATTATGGCATATGAATCATGGCATATACTCCATTATGGGTAATGCAGGATTGATATCATCAAGCGTATGATAAATATGTTTGAAACCCTAAACAATCCTGGCAAAGTCCCGCAGTCCAGTAACCTACTTGTTTCTAGGTTCTTATTATGAACCTTAATTCAGACTTTACAGGGACCCTACGAAAAAGTTGGTTTTGGTAGCTTAATGTTGGGTTCAGGGCTTTGCAGCAAACTTGGCCGGCCGAGAAAGAAGTTGCGTCGTATCCTGGTAGTAGAGTACGTATAGATAGCAGAATCCAAAAGGTTAATCTTTAGTTCCCTAAGATACTTATTGGCTGTAAACTCAACTTTTCAACTTTTGGGGTTCTTATGACATAGTCGAGTTTGAAATTTTCAACTCTTGTTTCCTTGGGTTTTGGGCCAGTGAGGATACATATCTCTGGGGTCGGAGAGCACGTCTTGTCGTGAAGTTACGGTGCCCTGGCCAGCAGGGGCGTCATCTGTTGGAACAAAATCTTTAAGAACTACTATATAGGGGTCCCAATAGTTATCTATACTATTCTGAGGCTTCCTGAATATAACGAATTATAGTATAATGGGCCCCCAAGAACCTATTCTACGTTTTCAGGGGCCCCTCGAGTGCTCTCCGGGTTCTATAATGGAGTCCCATTATACGCTGTTCAGACCTACACATCCATTCATCACCATGCGTATGTCTAATGCTTGCTTTGAGAGAGGTGTCTTGGAAATCGCTGGCCGAACCCCAAACTGTGCACCCCTCACAGTGTGTGTAGGGTCTAGAATCCGGAACCCTCGTTTGCAACTGGGCAAGGGCGCAGCTGTTGGATGCCATGCGCCATTGCATTGAGGAGTACCTTGGCTGCAAGAGAACCTTGAGCCCTGAAATCGGGGCTTCCGAGTCTTTCGTGTAAAGTTTAGGGCGGTGGAGCTTCCGACCGAACAAACCTCCCCTGCAGTGTCCAAGTTTCGAGGGTCCAAACCCGAGCCCTCCCCTAGAACTGGTCATCAGCTTCTAGTGCAGATCAGTCAAAGTACTTGCGGAGGCCGAGACCTCGTCAGGCATGTCCGAGTTGCGAGAGCGCAAACCATAAGCATCATGAGCTCTAAGGGCTATCTCGGCCCAAGCCCAAGCCTCTACACGCCTCAGATCCTTCCCGTAACTGTGGCTGGTAGTGCCGCCTACACTGTGTGGCTTGAGATGCTTCGGAAAGGTTTTTTGCAGGTTTTGTAGCCCGTCGAGGGATTAACAAACCAGGCTTCTGGGGCTGTAGAGTCTCTGTAGAGTTTGAACACAAGCCTTGAACAGGTACGGCTTCACCAAGTGCTGCAACTTCGAGACAGAGGCTGTTCGATCACCTGAGCGGTATAGGACCTGAACTTGAACCTTGAAGCTGATAGTTACTCTCTTTGTGTGCTTGCCACTCCTGCCAACGTATACATGAATCTTTAGCCTTTCTTCCTGCACACCCTTTGCATATTCTGCTGTGCGGGTTCAGCACCTGGCAATGCGGACGGACAGCCTTAAAATGCTTTAAAGGTGAACCGTTCACCCAGCCGAAAAGGGAGTTTCCGAAAATAGGGGACCCCAATATAGCACCCTAAACAGCCCATTTTGGCTCAAGCCATTTTGGCTCAAGTCCGCCGTCAGCTGGCGTGTGTGCCCCTGGAGCGCGGTCGCGCCTTCCGGGCCGCGTCGGGCAGGCTTGAGCTCTCCTCCTCCTCGTAGTCCTGTTCTGAGGCCTCCCGGGTGCATTACTCCACCAGTCCCTCTCGTCGTGTCGTCGTTCGTCGGGATGGCGGGGTCGGACGAAAGTACGCTCCTGTTGCCCCACCTGCACCGTTCCGAACAACTGGAGGGGGGGGGGGGGGGGTGGATGACGCTGGGACGCCAATTAGCTCAGGGGCTCTTCTGGGGGCCGAGCAGCCCGACATGGTTATGCAAGAAGCGGCCCAGGATGCGCTCCGGGCCGCCTTGGGGGATGCCGTGGGTGGGCCGTGTGATCCTGGACCGGGGAGAGGGGTGGGGCTGGCGGAAACTGAAGCCAAGCAGGCTGAAGCAGCAGCGGTGGCCGCTAATCTCCTTGCTAAACACCAAGCCACCCGAGCCCCCAAGTCCTCGCCTAAAACAAGCCCCGAAAAGAAAGCACGACCTCCGACCCTCGATCCCGCTGCCGCCAAAGGACCGCCAGTGGGGCTGCAACCCCCTCCCCTTTTTGGGGGGGGGCCTGTCCCCCCCGACAAGAACAAACGCCCGCTGCCACAGGAGTACGACATTGGTGATGATGTCCCCCCGCCGTGGGCAGCCTCACTTCAGGCGGGCATCGACCGGCTTCATCGAGGACAACACGAGCAGATGCAGGCCATCCAGGTCACTAGAGATTCCATTCAGGGAGTAGCAGATAAGGTGCAGTCTTTGGAGTCGAGGCAGGATTCGCACTTAGAACGAACTGCGGCTCTTGAGCTCCGTTTGGCGGCTATGGAACAGGAGATGAGGGATTTTCGCTCTAGGTCTCCTAGTGTCACCTCAGCATACACTCCGACGCATTCACCTCGTGGGGCTCGTGGGAATCCCGCGCATGATGATTGGCAGGTTGTTTTAGGCGGTTGGAAGGATGCGAAACGCGAGGACATCGAACAAGAAGTGAGAGACTGGTTCACGAGAGCTGAGTGTGGCCCTCTCCTGCAGGCCATGCATTGCAGCTCGGTGCGTTCCAACACGTGTAGGGTCGACTTGCTGTACATGCAGGATGCCATGGCAGAACGACGTAAGGTCCAAGGCATGTGTGTTGAGGCCCTCCGAGCAGTTGCTCAGCCAAGCTCCCTTCCAGGGCAAGGGACGGGGGCACTTTGGGCAAAGCGAAACCGTAGTCCTGAGGAGAGAGCCCGTATTCGAGCCATAGTGTCCCTCAAGGCTCTTGTTGCCAAACATTTGCCCCCCAGGGACTTTGAGTTTGACTGGCGTGGAAGGTTCTGGGCTAATGGGGTCAGTGTGCTTGCCCACGTGGACCAGAAACGTCCGGATGATGGGGCTCTGTTGTTGCTTGATGTACGGGGCCACGAAACGGGATGGTGGGTCCCGGGTCCCCTTCTCGCTCGAACTTTGGGGATTGATCTCAAGGTCTTGCATACACACTTCGAGGTTGAGGCGTCAGGATCCCCCTAGGAGGGTGGCCGGAACAGGAAACGAGGGCGACCCCTCAAACCCGAATTCGTAGCATGTACCTGGAATCTTCATGGTAAAAGTCTCCGTGAGGTTGCTGATCTGTGGCAGGGGACTGTCCCATGCCCTGACTTTCTTTTTGTGCAGGAATTAGGTGCTTGTCCTGGGGCCACTCCTGAGGTTCAGGTCTCGGATTTTTGTTTTGGGTCTGTACCCTACAAGATGTATCACTGCAGCGCGCCCGAAGCACACCTCAACCAGGCTATTCTTGTCAAAACCGAACTGGAATTCCATGCGACACACAAGTCGGGGCTTCCCGTTGGTCTTGTCCTGCATGGTGCATGTCGGAATCACCGAATTCATTTGGCATGTTTGCATTTGCCCCACAGTAAACGGGTCAGCACCGAAGCTAAACCACGATCTTCTGCAGAGGAGGTTTGGAAGGACACCTTGGAGCTACTGGATTCTCAACTGCAGGATACAGGTGGCGAGGCCATGGTCATCGTCGGCGGTGATTTCAACCAGGACCTTCATGCCAGCTCGGACACCTTTTCGGGAATGGGGCTTCTGAGGGCTCTGCTTCAGAAACATAGCCTCTCGTTGCATCGTTCCGTGGGCATCACTTGGACGGCCCGTGGGGCTGCTAGCGAAATCGACGCTGTCCTGGCTCGTGTCCCTAGAAGTCTCACGTATGCTCACAAGCGGGATGACATGCGACTGGCGCTCCCCTCGGACCACTGCCCCGTCTTTCTGAGAATTTGCACCCCGATGCCGCTGCTCCACAGAGGCACACGCCCCACCACCAGGTGTGGCCGGTGGCTGCCCAGCATTCCGGAGCTGGAGAGCTATGCGGCCTCGGACATGGAGTTTGGTCCCTCTCGCATGTCTGAGTTGTGTTTAAAAGCCGAGCGAGTTCCTTCCCTTCGATACCAGGACTCTTCGGACCTTAAGGCCCTTATTGCAACCAGACGTGCCTGCCAGGACCCTCACACGAGAGCGAGCATGTTGTCCGAAATACGGGCACGCCGAACCAACGATCGGCACGAACACCAGTTGAACATTCTGCAGCGAGCCAGGGAAGGGGATAGGCAGGCTATCACGTACCTCCGAAAGAGTGCCGCGCATGCTTCGTTTGAAACCAGCTACATTGAGCAAAGAGGGGGGCAACAAGCGGCCAGCTTGGAACTCCGGCAGTTCTATGACCGCAAATACGCTTCCCTCCTCCCGCCTCCCACCGAGGAGGCGATCCATCGGATGATTGCTACACATTCCTCCGTTAGACCGCAGCCCTTTACTAAGGATGACTTAGGCCTGGCCATCGCCAAATGCAAGCCACGCACAAGCGCTGGCCTGGACGGAGTGTGCTATGAGGCAATCCGGACCTATCATAGATGCGACAAAACGGGCAAGCTTCTCCGCTTCATGAATCGTTTGCTCTTTGGGCAACAGCCTCTTCCCGAGAACTGGTACGAGGCCAAGGTAGTGCTCCTGCCCAAAACGCCCCAACCCTCCAATCCTGCTGACCTGCGCCCGATCTGTCTCTCTCCGTGCTTGTCTAAGATCTTTGGCAGGCTACTGATGGGGAGAGTTGCGCCTAAATGCCCGCCCTACCAAAGTGGGCAAATGGGGTGCAGACGAAAAACTCAGACGGTAGACGGCATCCTCGCGGCGCAGACAGTAATAGGAGTCTTACGCAGAAAGCACCAGGTGGAAGCACATGTGGCCAAGCTAGATATTAGGGCGGCTTTCGACAGTCTTTCCCATTCTTCGATCGTGCACTTCTTCATGCACTGTGAGGTTTGTCCCGAGATCCTCCTGCTATGGCGTCTGTGCTCCCAAAATCGTTTGCTAATGAGTTTGGGAACTGAGACTTGGCGTACCGAGGTCCGCCAAGGGATCATGCAAGGCAGCAGCTATTCAGCTGATCTCTTCGCTCGAGCTATAGATTTCCATTTGCGGGGGCTCCAGGCTCGGTGGAATACCGAGTTTCCCCGCTGGGCGGATGCAATAGAGCTCCCACATTTCCTGCTATATGCTGATGATGTCATGCTTTTTGCGATGGATGCTAGGGAACTTCAGGTCAAACTCAGGGACCTGACGGACACGTTGGCGGCGGTAGGGCTCTTTGTCAACCCTGCCAAGTGCAGCGTGCTTAATATTGAAGGATCGACGCCGGGGGTCTGGCTCCGGGGCTCTTGCACCCCTCTGCAGGGCAAGGACCGCTTGATGTTCCTTGGGGTACCTCTTGCACACACTAATGCCCCCGACATGGTCCTCATGCACCCGCTCAGAAAGATGACAAATTCTTTCTTTGCAATGAAGAAGATCTTGGACAAGCCCTCGACTCCGCACAGGGTTAAGAGTGTTCTCTTTGACTCGTACATCAGCTCGAAATGGCAATGGTGCAGTTCGGTCGTTTGGCCTACGGTGCGCGCGCTGAAGAGCATAGAAGGGCTTAAGAATTCCTTGCTTCTGGGGGTTTTTCGCTTCGGAAGAGATCCTTTCAGCACTTGGTTGGAAAACGTGCAAGGATGTCGTAGAGCACTCAGTGTGTACTGCCAGTGCTTTCGAGGACCGCAGTGGCAGGTGGCCTGGTTGACACGTATTTGGACCTATTTCGGTCACCTTGCCCGGTCCACGGAGGACACGCCCTTACGCCGCATGCTCAGGACCATGGGGAGTCACCGACTCTCCACGGGACAGCTTCGGCCGTCCTGGCTTTCGGAGACGCCTTTTCACAAGTTTCGCTTGGTTTATCAGCAATTGCAAATGCAAGGAGAGATGCCTCATTGGGAATGGCAGGCAACAGACCGCACGGCCTGGCTGGCTATGCTGCCGCGATGGCTGCACTATTGGCATGCGTCGCCTGTCCATCCCCTGACGACGGAGTATGTAGCTGGTCGCCAGCTTGTCGTGGTAGATAAGGGAATCTCTGCTCTACGCAGACGACGTGATGCACTGGAGGGTCTGTATCGTTCCGGGCTAATCCATCTCAAACCATGGCGTGCTGATAACAGAACAGCGGTCACCTTCTGGGTGACGCATGTGCCGGGCAGTCTCGTCGCATGTGTCTACTGTTTTCGTGCCAAGGTGAAAGTACATGATACCACGGTTTTGCACATACGCCTTCAATCGACTGGAGACGGAGGGGTGGTAGTCGTGCCAGTGCTGCTCGCTCTTTGC